TTAGCATTTATTTTAGAAAGAATCTGAAACTTTTGAAGTTGATCTAAATGATGTGAAAGTACCAGTGTGACTCAGGTTCCAGGTTCTTGACTACGCAGAGCACATGTTGGACCGTATGTGGTATGATAAGCGCTCAGCTGGCTGCTCCTTTAGCAATTCTCAATTTCCTGGGTGCTGCTGGGGAAAAGAAAAAAAAAAAAAGGCAGAACCACTGGCTGGCGTCCAGGAGACCATGTCCTTCAAGGTCTCTGGCTGCAGACCTCCAAACAGGCTGATTAAACTCACCCCACACCCAAGGTTCTACATAGTACTGCTCACTAGGAGGTTTAAGCATGACAATTTAAGTAGATATCTTTATCGTTTTATTAAAGCTCAAGGGTGCAGTATTTTTGTTATCGAAATGGCGAAATTTACCCAGAATTACATACATACCAACTACTATCACTAATATCTTTTACACAAGAACAAAAACAAAAATAAGCATCGGTAGAAACAGCCATATTTAAAAACAAAAACAAACAAAATCACCCATACATACATTTACACCCTTATTCAAGTAAAGGTTGCTGATTGAAGAAAAACAGAGACAACAACCAAGCTAACAGATCTGCAGACAAAAGGGAGCAGCATGCACAAGAAATTTCTATCATAACGAAGGACGGGCAATATGCTGTCAGAACGTGCAGCACTGGTCACATTTAGCACTAATGCCCATCTGCATCTCCTATAGTTAGCTGACATCATGCCAACAAGGCAAGCACCTGACACTGGGCTCACCGAAGGCCAGCAGGTGCTGCCTACAGACCGAATGGGAGCCAAAGTAGAAGAACGTGACCTTGCGTGCTTTTAACACCAAAGGAGGAGACTGGAAAGTTAACCTCCGTAAGGCAGAGCGGTGCCTTCCCTGAGACGACAAATCACCATCTACAGGCCTGTCTATAGCACACGCCCTGTAGGCCAAACCATCAGTAAGTTATCATACAAACACATACACAGTGCTGATTTCATTCCCGATTACAACAAAGGTCACGGTGACCGCTGACAGGTGATCAGACCAGGAGGGGTGGTCGATATCCGATATCCAGGTTAATAGGTTACTTATGAATAACCGAAGGGAGATCCATTTACTGTGCCAACAAAACGCTAAAAACACACTCAAGCCTTACTGATTCTTTTCAGGAAAGTTTCAACGTTACTGTATTTGCACATTACAGGAGATAAATACAGCGTGCACCCCCACCCCCCCCAGACAGCCTACCATGAAACTATCCATTACGGCTATGAGGGTGAATGATGGTCGACTTCGAAAAATCAACAGAAGACTCATAAGCTGCACTACAGGATGCCCAACTATGAACAGCAATGGGAACCTTTAAAGCAACACCAATGAGCTACACCAGCCCCTTGCATTCAGATTAATATAAAGATACAAATGGAGTCAAATTCATAGGTCCAATAAGCTATCAGCACCATCTGGGTCCCAATGGCAACACCTCCTTTCATATCAACACTGTCTTCTGTGAATTCCTGTGCTAAATTGAAAATCCCCCCCACATTTTACAAGAACTGTGAGAATTATAATATTATAATTATATTATAATATTAATTATATATTATAATTATATTATAATATTATAATTATGACAACAAAAATGGCTACCCATAATCAAATATTTCACCCAGTTTTCCATGTAGCTATTTAAAGAAATAATGGTATTTAGGAAATTGTACGAAACCAGGATATTTGTCGGTGATTCAAAGACGGGAAACAAAATACAAATGGCTTAACTTTTAAAACAAATAAATATAATTTTGATGTAATATTTTCATTACAAGTGCCCTGGAACCCTGGATCAGCACTGGGATTTGTGCCAAATATCCTACAAATAAAATAAACAACTAAGTCCTTAGTTGACTTGAGAGTAACTGTTCATACATTAAACCCACAGCCACTGCACCAAAAAGACCAAGAACTCAATAAACTTCTGCCTTAACTAAGACCTGAAGTGCACAGAGAGGGTAACTTTGGACAAGTTCAGATTATACACGCCAACATCTTTCCCCTTAGATCAAGGAGATGTTTTGGTCTCCACACAGTTACAGATCATTTTTAAAATGTTGAATTACATGCACATAATGCAGAATTCGGACATAAATGAACCACTAGCTTCAACGCATTACACATATATGATTCTTTAATGTCAGGTTTTATAAGACAAATGAGTCCATTGTGATGAGTCCAAACCGACAGGGTGTGGCAAGTGATTAAAACAATAATTGCCCTAATATATTATTAAGAGGATACAGCATCTTGCGTCTTGGTCTATAAATAAAGGTTTTATCATAAGCAATTATGTGAGAGACTTAATTAAGGAATGTTTTGAAGCAGAATCCGATTAAAAAAACAACAACACGTGGAGTGGGGGAGGAGCCCAGCAGAAAAAATTACGCGATTTAGGTTAGGAAACCACTGTTCCCCATTTTATAACCATGAGAGATAGACAGCACATCCTCCGTAGAAGCACTTCTCGTGGCACAATATGACTAACGACACTTTTTCATGCCCCTGCCCGTGTAAATTTGACAGGCTTGCATTTTTTCCGCCGACTTTTGCAGTCCCCCAAGTCTTAAATTTGCTACGAGTCCAGCTTCATGACTTCACTGCGCTTTTCAAACAGACATTTACTACGACAGAAAGGAAAGGAGCAGCTGGGTGTTTCGCAAGGCTTCCGCCGAAACGGTACCGCATAAACAGCGGCGCTTCCTCCCGTGTCGCCACTTCAATAACGTCCCATTAGAATAATGAGGATGATGAGCGACTTTCGCCCACAGTCGTAGCGGGAGTCCGGGGACTGCAGCACTAAAAATGGCCAAGGTACATGCAAATACGCAGCTAGGAAATAATAATAAATCGCAGGGAATGCATAGTTCTAATAACTTATTCACACCAAACTTTCAGCTATGCAACAAATACGATACGCGGTGTTTGAAATTTTATAAGTGGGGGGTGCATCTTTAACCGTGCAGGCCGCAGGTAGCTGCTGCTGACCCCGGATTTTAACCCGGAAAACCCGGTTTGCACGGATGAGGATTTTGCGCCGATAAACAGCCGCCCGGGCAGCCCATCGGCACGCAGAATGCTGGCAAACCGCATGCAGACGATGCACGACCGGCCCGAAGAGTCCGGCACGCCGCGCCGGCGACTAACCGAAAACTTCGGGCGAGTGTGTAAGGCTGCGCCCCCGGCAGAGCCGCTGGGTCTGGCGGCCAGGATCACAGGGCGGTTCTCTCTCACCTGCATGCCCGGCAGGCCGCTCTGCACCGGGGAATGAGCCATGGCGCCGCGCAGAGTGAAGAAGAGGAGAAGGAAAGCAGCGTGTGTGTGTCGGAGTACGCTGACTGGGCTCTCCGGAGGACGCTCCCCGCGGCGCTCTGCGTCTCGGCGCTGGGCTCTTCCTGTCCCGGATCAGCCGGCCGGGCTTCGCGGAAACTCTGCGTGCGCGTCGCCGCTCGTCGGGGCTCCGCTTCTTCTTGGATCGGCACCAAAGAAAAGATGTTTCGCCGCACAGTGCGATGTAAACGGCAAGGCAGGACCGCGCCGCCCAGTGACCGACACCGGGGTAGATTTAAAGCATCCGTCCGCGGGGGAAGTACTCTGAGCAAAGCGTATGTTTGGCGAAGCGGGCGCAGGCTCTCGCCCGGCTTGGCAGAGCCGGCCAGCCGCTAGCTTAACTAGAGCTCGTCTTCCGCTATAACATACCACCTCCAGGAGAGCCGAAGGCGCATGTGACCGGCGCTACTGCCACCAAGGCCAGGCCGACCACAGCGTTACCTATAACCCGAAAGCCGCCACACGCCAGTACAGGGGGGGGACAACGCAAAGGATCTTCTGTGTAACTGATGTTAGCAGCGTCCGCCTCACTCAGCCAGAGCGCCTTCCGCCATCTTGTCAGCGCTGTCACTGTGACATCAGGGCGGATCCGGACGCGCAGTGGCGCCCGCGCATCGGCAGGGGGCGCAACAGTGCCCGCGTCACCCAGGCAACGGGAATGTCCCGTGACGGGCGACCTCAGCGTAACTGCCTGTAAAATGTGCTAATCAATGGAAATGGAATTAGATTGATTGACGATACTTTAAAGATTTAAAATGACATAGTTCAAATGTTTGTAATTTAGTTCCTAGTTAAAATTCTTGAAGAAAGAGTAAATATAACTAAGTTTAGATAATAGTTTTAAGGCCAACAGTGCAAGGGCCCTACATAAGGTTTCACATGACATAAAGACGATATTATTCGTTGTACAACAGACAGCTGCAGGATGTCGCACACGGTGAATAATCAGTCGTGCATATATTTACAGGTTCTTATACCTTCTGTCGGATTCTCTCCGTTAACACACATGCTTTGCATTTCGTGTTGTCCTGCAGCTTTGAATAATTACTGTCATGCAATCACCGGGAACCGCGAATAAAACGTGGCGGTTAAGAACCGCTTACATTTCATCGCATCTGTCCCAGGGATCCGTCAAGGCATTGAAGCGCTGCGGGGCGTTTCATCTCCGGGTAAGGCATGCAGTGTGAGGCATGCAGTGCACAGCTGCACGGCCGAATTCCAGCTGTTTGCGTCTGACACGCCTTAGCTGAGAGTGGGTGATACTACAAGCCTGAGACCCTCCAGATGCTGCGGCTGCACGCTCAGGGGATAGTCAAGGCACAGGAGTGTCATGTTTTGTGAGGACATGGGGATGCTCGAATAACTTCACGCTAGCCTTTGTCTCGCCCTAGTTTTCTTTTATTATTAAGAAAAAAAACTCGCATTATGTAGTAATGTAAAGAAACTGCTTATGAAAATAAATAACGGTACGCGTTTATGTTCGATGAATTAGCGGAAATGGAATAAGCTATTGATGACGATCACTGGAGAATAACGCACGCAGCGTCAAGCAAAATACAAAGCGCAGCCTGTGTTTCCCCAGCAGCCCGACGTCGGTCACACTCCGCTGAAACGTGTAACATACTGCCACCTACTGGCGCCTGATAAATTACTTTGACAGCCTCGTAAATACTGTATTCAGTACAATGCAACTGCAGGGTTTAAACCTGGCTAAAGACCACCAGAACAAACCACCCTGTAGCAACTAATAATGTAATGACTCCCAATAATGTAATAACATGCCAATAATGTAATAAATTTCTCAGTTTCTAATGTAATTAAAGTCGATAATGTAATAACCACCCAATAATATAGTAACAATATATTATGATCAAAAGTTATTACGTTATTGGTTCAGAAAATGTATTACATTATTGGGCAGTTATTACATTATCAACTTTTATTACATTAAGAATGGAAAATTTGTTACGTTATTGGCAGTTACCAGATTACTGGCTGCTGTACACCCTGAAGCATATGAGCTCTGAAATGCCAACCCCTTTAAATGAGAAGGTACACGGTCATTAGAAAAATTCATTGGGTATTTGATGGTACATTATTGTGTTAAAACAGCAAAAACTTTCCTGCTTTGTGCATTGACTCTATTCAATGGAACAGCAGCCCAGACGCAGCCAGACCTGTCAGTCTGATCGTGTCAAAGACACTTTTTTATCTGGTGGCTAAAGGTGTAGCGATACAAGCTGGACAGCTAGGAAATATTGATCCATTCGGGATTCCGAGTTAATCAACTTAAACATCATTCTGGTTCATGTGTAGAGCAAAGCCACTTATGGGCCTTATGAGGCAGGCAGACTCAAACTCTTTCGCAATCTCGCACCCTGACACATTCATAGTCACATTCATTACATTAAAAAAGCCAGAGGAGTTAAATAACACATTGAGCCAAAAGACTTCACATGTATACTTACTTCAGCTAAATCTGAATTGTGTTTTGATATATTTATGGAAGTTAGAGGAATGGCACTACATTACCTGTTGTTTTTAAATATAGTATATTACACCCCATGGCATTTCAGAGGGCTGTTTATTATTAGGAGCAGTTAATCAAAACCCGTCATGATTGCATGTGAAGGGCAAACAATGGCTTCACTTACCTGATTGCATTATTGCCTTCTATGGCCTGGCTATTGAATCATCCACCTGCAGCAGAAAATGAATGTAATGGAATACGGAAGGGAAGAACAAATCCACAAAAATCAGCATGGGTGGGATCTCACATCTACTGTCAATAATACAAGCCATGCTGGGGTTGGATGCCGTGTCTCTCCTATCACCAAGTGCACCCATATATTTGTCACAGGGGTGGCCTGTGTCCTGTACCCGCCACCCGTCACAGAAGGCTGGCTGACGCTCCGGATCGGATGCCAGCAGTTGCGGAGACATCAGCGTCAAATAAAAAAAGAGGAGGATAACAACCATTCGTAACATTTGGATGTGGCTTCACAGATCATCCAGTAATATTTTTTTTCCCTGCAGTGTTTAGGGTTTCAGTTACTGGACATGCGTGTTCCCGAGGGCGGGGTCGTGTTTTCTGGCTGACACGTCCCATAATTCCCGGTTGCTCGTTTAAGTGACATTAAGCAATATTTATGTGGTCAATACTAAGGGCTGTTCCCATCACTCTCATTGTGACCGAGCAAGGAAGAGATCCGTCCGAATGGATTTGCTAAATTACCTATAATAATCACTTCTGTGCTATTATATGACTCAGGCTGGGCTTGTGTGGCAGGCAACACACTAGAAAACTGTAATGTGGTTAGAATTTTTCTGTGTGGATAGCAGTTGCTTTGACTTGCTGCTCTAACAAGAAAACCGCAAATGAAACCTTACTAAATTTGAAAGCTAACCTCAACTTTATATGTATATTAAAAATAAACAGTGCGTTGTCACAGCTAAATGATATCTTTGTCGACGATTGCCTTATATTCTTAAATCTGAAATGGGCTTGTCCTGTCAGCAGTAATATGCATGCTGTTGCCTTCCATGTTTCAGGCGTCTTGCTGGCTCAGAGAGGAACATGGAATTTGTATTTTCTGCAGTGGACCTCGTGATGTACAGAAATGTTCACTAAAAGACACTGACACGATTTTTTAGAGGACTACCTATGCTACTGTGTGTTAGCATGTACTTCATTATAGGTTTTATAAAAGAAAATCATCACAACACAAAAGCCCTTCAAGGACAGTGTGAATGTGAGACGTCTGGGTACAAACCTGGCACACCCAGTGAAGAGCTGTCAAGCTGTGAACAGTGCAAATTCTGCCCATAAACAGCATGAAGGTCAGCCTGTAGCGCATTCCTGCCCTACTGAAAACGGGTGTGGCATCACATCATTGTAAGTTTTGATCCGACAACCCTCACAAGTCCTCCTCTGAAAGCTGTTAACCAAACAAGGTTCCAAAGATCTATATTTTGGACCAGTTTTGTCCACTTTAACCTGCTTGTGTGTCTAAATTCTTGCTGCTCAGTTCCCTTTACAGATACGGCTTTCAACACAATCATAAGGAACTCTTTTTCAATTGTTCCTCACATCTTGGAAAAAGTCAACGTGACTCAACGATGGCAGCATATAAAGCCAAATGTAGCAGGCTTGGGGGGAGAGAGCCATCCAGTTGTACCCGTAAGTGCTGGGCCCAGAGTAGGGAAACGAGGGGCAGCCAGATTCGGTTGAACCCACCCAACAAACCTGAGGCCTTTTGTCACCTCTGGGCCTCCCAGTTGTGGGTGACTAACATTGCCCATCAGCGATGGGGCTTGGATCCATGCGGTCAGACATGCTTCACTTAGATCACAACATGGGGAGGCAGCAGATGCTAAGAACTCTCCCTGCTCTTGATGGTGCCTCAGGATCATATGGACCCAGTGTTTTGTCTTTATTTCCCTGCTAAGAAGAAGTGAGAGGATCATAAAATTATCCTCACTGCTTGATGACTCCATTTAGTCTCATATTGCAAATTTCGCAATTATAGAATAATAAAATGCATCAGCCTCAGTGTGCAAGGTTTCTGTGCGTAATGATTTTTATTGGATGGCAGATTAAAAAAACGCACATGGGGAGGCACCAGATCCTAAGGAAGTGGACACTTTTTTATTTTGGCCAGAAAAAAAAAATCCATGTTGGTTCTGGACATTTTACGAGGCCTTACGTTGTGCTTTCTTTCAAGGCCACAGTATCCTGTGGTGTAATATTTATAAATCGGATAAATATAGCCGAACCCAAAGAGAAACAGTGTAAGGAGGAAAGTCCACACTGGGGTGTGAATCGAGCTTTAACCACAGCTCTCCGTTTTCACTACCGTCTCACTGTCTCCAGGCCAACCGCTCGCTCACGTTGATCTGAATCCATTCCAGAGCCACGCTGATGAAAACCAGGGGCGTCTGTAGCACCCAGGGAGAAACACTCTGTCGGCACCTCGAAGCCGGTCCTGCCAAACCAGCAAGCAGCTTCTACAACAGCCCGTCTCTGATTTCACTACATCATGTGATAACCCAAGGCTTGCTGAAGACAGGACTCATGTAACATCCATATGGTTCTCCCACATCAGTGGCTTCAACATATTCTCCCCAACTGGAACCAGTACAGTACCCTGAGTAGGGCTCACCGTCTGTTGCAGGGAGGTAGCGTGCAGCTGTCACACGCGCTCACGACGACCGGGAAGGCAGGCTGAATAGAGAAACTGAAAGAAACTGAAGAGTATATCAAGGGCCCCACGAGCTTTTAAAAGGGCACATTGCTGCTACATTGGACAGAACTGCCTGCCATCTGTTGCCTTCGTGTCAGCATTGTTTCTGACTTATGGATGCCAAGTGCAGCCATGGTCTATGTATATATTTTCATTTTCAAAACAGATGGAGAACATAAAATATTCTCTCACTAATGCCAAGATCATGTTATCCTGCCGTATTTATCACTCGGAAAAGATTAGTTTCCTATTTACTTTGATGTAAAATTTAAGCTTTATTATAGATGTTAATATTCATTTCAATATATATTTGAATATATTTCACATCTAAATATGCTGTGCAATACAATCACAAGGTCTCGTGTTTGGCAATCTTCAGAAAAAGCACAAAGCGAAAGCAAAGAAATTAGAGGATTTTATTTAAAAGAAAAGCGTTAAGGAACATTCCCATTTAAATACAGCAGAACTGTGACTTTGTTAAATAAAAACAAAAAGACCCTATATGTCCCAAATATAAAATACACATGAAAATGGTAAAAGATTCATATTACATTCGGCCCCCCAAGCATGCGCTTGCTTTGCTCCTACATACTGATCAGACAGACACCCTTCACAGTGTAAGAGCACAGCAAGATGCCCCGCCCAGACTGATATTGCACTCGGTTTATGTACAGGAACACTCAGCAGGTGCCACGCCGGTCCGCACACCTTGGCCTGCTCATGACACCTTCGAAGAAGCACCCACCCTGTAAAATAAGATCTGCCTACAAATATAACGTCTCTTCATATACAGAAAGATATACATCTATATTGTTCTTTGCGACAAACTAGATTCTTTTCAGAGTCTAAAGTGGTCATCCTTCCCCTCCCTTACACACCTGACTCCTTGGACATCGTAACACTTTACATACAAAAATGACAAACGTGGGAACGTGGAAAAAGCGCGAACCCAGCCGACACCAGGGACTCCATGCATGTGTGGTGTTGATGTTGCCGCCTTTGAGTTCCAGTTGGGATGGAGTGTATTCACAGGGAACAGTACATATACCCCTAACAGATCCAGCCAAGGATCACGGACGTAGACATGAATCTATTCTACCCCTCACTTCAATGACTTTTATCCTGCCCTCTGCCATTCTCCTCCTCGTCGGCTTGGATGAATATCACCCTACACATCGCACACGGGAAGGCTTCTCTATATTCTGTGTGACGGAGGTCACTGGACCATCAGAATGGGTGTGAAAAGTGAGTCAGAATGAAGCAGCTTAGAAAACTAAAATAAACATTCATTCTCTCTTTCCTTCTTCGTCCTCCACCCGTGACACAAAGCCAGCTGTGGGAGAGGGATCAGAGGTCGCCTCAGACCACAGAGGACGAGTTGGGGATGCCCTGGATGGACGCCCCAGTGGGCGTACCGCTGATGGCGTTGAAGATGTGTAGAGAGTCAGGCAGGGGGGTCCTGACCCCATCCTCCACTGGGCTGATCTGTAGGAGGGGGCGAAGAGGAATGACACTTGTATTTGTCCAGATATACTCCAATTGCACAATTATTAACGGCTGTTCTTAAGACCGTTAACTAGGACTGAGACACACTAAGACTGGTGTACACCAGTGGAGGACTAAGGGCCTTTGCACACCAATCGCCTAGAGTGCACTTTTCCTGGCAATTTGGATTAGCTATTAAACTCATTGTTAGCAGTGTATCAAACTGGACCACTGCCATTCTGAAATACACCTTGAAAGTCTGGGATAATTCCGCAGTTCCTGTATCAGCAGGTGAAATTCTCCCTGCTCTTGATGGCACCTCAGGATCATATGGACCCAGTATTTTCCCTTTATTTTCCTGCTAAGAAGAAGTGCGAGGACCATAAAATTATCCTCACAGCTTGACGACTCCATTTTGTCTCATATTGCAGATTTTTGCAAGTATAATAATAATAATAATAATAATAATAAAACGCATCAGACTCAGTAACGATTTTATTGGATGGCAGATTAAAAAAATGCACATGGGGAGGCACCAGATCCTAAGGAAGCTGACACTTTTTTATTTTGGCCAGAAAAAAAATAATCCATGTTGGTTCTGGACGTTTTGCGAGGCCTTACGTTGTGCTTTCTTTTGAAGCTACAGTATTCTGTGGTGTAATATTTATAAATCGGATAAATTTAGCCGAACTCAAAGAGAAACAGTGTAAGGAAGAAAGTCCACAATGGGGTGTGAATTAAGCTTTGATCAAAAATTTGGACTTGGTGTGCAAAGGTTTTTCCACTGGTATACACCAGTGGAGAAAGACAGATAACTAAGACTGGTAGCACTGGTGGAGGACTAAGACTGGTACACACCAGTGGAGAAGGACAGTTAACCAAAACTGCTAAATACCAATGGAGGTCTAAGATTGGTATACACTGGTGGAGCACTAAGACTGGTATACACTGGTAGGGGACTAAGACTGGTATACACTGGTGGGGGACTAAGATTGGTGTCAAGGCTAAATTGATGCTCTACTTATCAAGCATGAGCAGTGAGCCCCAGCGCCCATCCCCCAGCCCTACCGGCTCACGCATGATAGTAGACAGCTCCTTGACCAGGTCCCGGTAGCTAGCCTTCATCCCGTCGTGATACTCGTGCTGGTCCTCCTTGATCAGCCGCTCGTTGACAGACAGGCCATGGCCGCAGGCCTCCACAAATTGCCTATGCACGATCAGAGGGTAGTGTGAGACAACCATGTCCCACCAACTTTCCAGTGCCCCCACCGATTTTCCCTCAAAACCAGAGCTCAGGCACAGGTCTCACCTGAAGACCTCCTTGAGCTGCTTGACCTTGTTGTCGGGGTACTTCTTGCTGTTGGCGTCATCCAGGAATGCTCTGGCATAGGCTAGTGGACCAGCATTCACCTGGAGGAGAGAGACGGCAGCAACCAGTTGTAGACCGATAACAACTTGACAACAGACCCCGCAGCACTGACACACACAGGAGACACGCAAGGCATTAAGTGTGATAAACACGCAGTAGACGTGCTGCTGCATGCAATCAGACTCATGTAGTTCTAACAGATGTACGTGTGTGTGTGTGTGTGTGTGTGTGTGTGTGTGTGTGTGTGTGTGTGTGTGTGTGTGTGTGTGNGTGTGTGTGTGTGTGTGTGTGTGTGTGTGTGTGTGTGTGTGCATGCTCCTAGGGTGGTGGCCATTGCTCACCTGCACACTGACACTGCCCTGCAGCTTGAGCTGCAGCCGGATCATGTCCACCTCACTGGCTGCACACAGCTGCCTCAACTCTTGCACCTTGGCGCTCATCTCGTCGATGGCCACCTCGATGGGGCTCAGGTCCATGTGCTGCTCGTATATCACTGCGATGCGTTTCTTCACATACGGGAAGCAGTGCGTGGCTGCCGGGGAGGGAGGCAAGACAAGGGGTAAACTTCTAGATTTCTGACCTGCCTGAGCGACTAATAAGTCCAGCTAAATGCGCAAAGCTTGGGGATTATCTTCCAGCAGGCTCATCACGTCGGTTTGCCCCCCCCCGGGCAGCACGTACTGGTCAGGACGGTTCGCCGCTTGCACTGCTCCCCCACCAGGCCCTGCTTCTTGCCCGAGGTGGTGAAGGGCGTCTCAAAGACAAAGCGCTGGATGTTGTGGTTCCTCTCGAAGTCCGTCTTCCTCTCGGCCAGCTCCTTCTCCTCCAGGAAGGGGGTCACATGGGTGACCTGGATGTACGCGTACTTCGGCTCCAGATCCTTCGGGTTGACCTGTGGGAGGGGGAGACATTAGTAGCTTTGGCTGGCTTTTAAATCAGAATTGAATTTAATGAGTAACACGTAACATTAATTGGTTTATACATCCAATGTAATAATTTTATAAATTTATACATGTTATATATGATCTTGTGTTGGTGACCCAGTAGGATAGAGATTCAACTCCCATTTTTTTCTCCTTCATGAGATTCAGTTTGTTATTTTTAAGTCTTCAAGCAAAAATCTGTAACGGATACAGTGTTTAGGCATACCTGTCAAGTTTTGGATTTGAAAATAAGGGAAATTTTCCGGCATCCACCGCGATAAAACTAAAATAACCACTTGTGATTTACATTTTATTTTCATTACACATTTTCTTTTAATTTCTCATGTTCACTCATGTGGCTCTCTGGCATTCACTATAATGACTTATTATACAGATTTGTTGCAGACTTTGTATCCTTGTTGAAGTCGTCACAGAAGGTGAAAGTAACGTTGTTTTTGGCACACAGCATTGCCATTTTAACCTCCGCGTTTATGGCCTGGTTAATGTTGTAAATGACCTGCAGACTACTGCAGCTGGCAGTTCTCGCGAGGCTACTGGCAGTTCAGTTTGGAGAGACAGAGGAATTTTTTCTTTTATAATATTCTTCTATTATAATAGGGGAGATTTACGGGAAAATACTAATACGGGAGGACGGCGGGAAAGAGGCGTAAAATACGGTAGTTTCCTGGCCAAAAACGGGAGACTTGACAGCTGTGTGTTTAGGTGGCAGACCAAGTTCAGATTAATACTTTCAATAGTTTCAATGACTGTAAAAAAACAGAAAACGATGTACTTCATATGTGTTGCAGGCGTTACGCCCTGTTGCAGACGGGGGCAGGCAGCGTGGCTAGGTGGAGGGTGGGGGGTGCGATGGTTTCCTTACCCTGCTGGAGTCCTGGATCATCTTCACATTTTCTGGGCCAAACTTATCAGAGTAGAGCTTGCAGAGTCTTTGGGAGATCTCGGGTAGGGGGGTGAATTTGGGCTCCTTGTAGATGTACTCCTTGCCATCCTCATCCTCAAAGAATCCCTACGAGGCACATTCACAAATATGTAGATTTTCACAATGCATTAAGTGCACCTCTCTCATTAGCCTGACACAATTTATAAAATAATTGCTTAATTATTTTATCTGTGCAGTTCACCATGCACGAGGGTTTTTAAAGTTTCCATGGTTAATTAACGAAAAAAACAGTCAAACAAAAATAAATAATGTTAAATAACAAAATCATAAAAATAAAAAACATGACTTTGTGAAGGAGGCACCCTCCACAGACAGATGCCAAGTGTCAGGGATGAGCTGGATGGAGCTGATGGGGAGTGACTTTCTAAGTACTAACTACAGCGACCAGTGCGAAAATTAGCAAACGAAACAGCCAGACAGACGAACGAACAAACTAGAGCTGAGACTGCAGCCAGGATCGCTGCACTGCTGACTTATTCACCCTGCATTTACCTCAGTGTCAGTGTCTGTGAACTGGTACTGCTACGCGCCAGGGACACAAACAGAACAGCAGTTAGTCATTCCCAGTACCGATTAGAACTTGACAACAGACCCCGCAGCACTGACACACACGGGAGACACGCAAGGCATTAAGCGTGACAAACACGCAGCGAAACACGTGCCGTTCATGAAGCTCCGTGGAATATTCAGAAATATTGTAAAAATCACCATCAACAGTAACAGAAATGAAGCTACACTTCAGAACATGAAAAAAAATATGCCAACAATAGTATTTTTTTACATTGCATATTTTACATTTTAATTATATATGTTTCTGTATCATGCACAAGCGGTTTAATGGGGTTTGAGTTCGCCTCCTAATACCTTTTTGTATGTATGACCCATAAACTCTCGCACAAGTGACACATTCACTACAGCCGTGTGCATGCTGCAAACACAAAGCAGGGTGGGGCCACGCTAAAGGCATCGGCTCTCGCCTGCAGCACTGGCTAATCACAGCCCCTGGGAGGACCTTAACGAGCAAAGCGGAGCATCACACTCCAAACAAATAATCAAAGGATGACAGAAGCCTAGAGCCCAACTTACCGCTGCCTTTAAGGGGGGGGGGAAGAAGCAGAAAGATCACATTAAATTAAAGGCTGACTGTAGGGAAAGTCAGACGTACTCATGCATCTTTTATTATATCAGAAAGGATTTCCTCATGCATGCACAGGTGAGCTGTTAATCAAAGAAAACAAATCAGGAAAATCTACCAAATTACAGCTAAGTACCTCCTATAGACATCTTAGCTGGAGGATTAAGCACACATATAGAAAAGCCGTAAAGTTTAAGCCCGTCCGTGCCCAGGTTGTTACTCCTAAAGTGTATGTTCCAGTGGCCTTTAGGAAGGCTCTGGTTACTCTGTGCAGTGCTGCCTCACCTGACCGAAGAAGGCCACCCTGAAGTAGGTTCCCAGCAACCTCTTTCCTGTGTGCATGACTTCTGCGACTTTGCTGTAGGCGCGATGCAGGATGTCGTAAATGTGAGCCAGTTTCTACACGATGCACACACACACACACACACATAGATTGACCATCAGTGATGGTGAAGACCTTCATAAATGTGCATCTGTGCTTCATGGATCATGACTGTAAGAGCAGCAAACTGTAAAGGCCAGGGGTTGACCACCTCTTAATCAGTCTGTGAGCAGTGTGCATATGTAAGCTTCACTGAGGAGTTCCTAGTACCTGAAAGTCCCTCCGCCTCTCGTAAATGGGGATGATGAGCTTGGAGATGTTGGAGATCATCTCATAGCGCTCGGCCTTCCACAGGCCGGTTGCACACTCTTCAACCAGCTCCAACAGCACATCCTACAGGCATGAACAGTGTTTGTGTACAATGGCCACTAGGGGGACGTGGTGAAAATTTCAACCACTATTAAGTTCTCTCCTGCACAAAACCAGAAAATCTCTGGATCCAAAAAATCATGACCACACCTCGTTGAAGTGGACGTCTTGCATGCCCACGTCCTCCATCATAAACGCCTCCTCGTCAATGTTGGGCGTGACCACGCGGAACGCTGTGCAGCCCAGCCTGAACATGCCTGTGACACGGACAGCCATGTGAGTGAGTGGTGCCGCATCCCCATGCAGCAACGACAAGAAAGTGTCAAAGTGCCACCTGGTGGCCATCAGCTGCAAGTTCATGTCAGAGCTGAGTCTGTACGCACCCTTCCTCTGGAGGTACTCGGCCACCAATGCCGCGACGTGCACATAGCACATGGCTGCCTGTGTTACAAACAGACAGGGTTTGGTGTTCAGGTGGTGAAAAGTAAGGAAGCCTGGACAGTGGGGAGGGGGGGGAGAGGGGGGCACACTGACCTCAGAGAGGTCGCCATTCTTGACATGGATGCGTGCCATGCTGTCCAGCCAAGTCTTACGCAGCTCTGGTGTGCTGGCGTAGGACTTGGCCAGACTGTACTGCAGGTCCACCAGCATCTCGGGGTCGTGCTCGTGTTCCTTCATCTGCTCAGTGGCCATTAGCACCGTGCGGATACGCTTGGTCAGGTCCTTCACGTCCGACGGGAAGGCCGTGTACTGGGGTGTCAGGTGAAAAATGTGATGGGTGACTGTGACTGGTACTATTCCGCGTCATACTTATAGATTAATTCCTATCAAGGACTTAACAGGACCTCTAGAATTATTGGCACCCTCTGTGAACGTGAGTAAAAGGTTGCGAAAAAATGCGCTTGTAGTGAATTAGCTTAATCTCATACTGAAAAACTTTGATGCAAAAAAATCCTTAGCAAAGCATATTGCAATTTATAGTTTGCTTTATTATGTTCACCTGAATGTTTCGGGACTCTTAAACATTCACCCATGGCGTCCTGTTTCACTGCAGTATAAATATGAGGAGAGACACTGGCCAAACTCCATAAGTCATTCATCAATGGGTAAGAGCAGCAAATACACAAATGAGGTGGGATAATATCGTGTTGACCTTCATAAATCAGCAATAGCTATAAAAAAAAAATAGCTGAACACCTGAAAATGCCCAAATCCACTTTTAGTGCAATAATTAAGAAGTTTGAAACAACCAGGACTGTAATAAAGGGAACAGCCCCTTTCACTGGTCTTTACCAAGGGTGCCAATAATTCTGAAGGGCACTATATGGGGTTAGGGACTTCCCACTAACAAACACTAACACATACAAATCAAACCAAGCAAACTTAGGTTGGATTTGCATTTTTAAACAGTGCTTAGTGTAGAAAGCCATAACCTCTGTGACCTCCAGCGTTGTTACAGTGTTGGCCATGTTCTGCTACTATAATTCATTCATTGTGGTTTCACAGCATGGAGTTATGTGCTTGGCGATGAAAAGCCGCACAATATTACAGACCTCATAAAATGTAAAATGAGTCACTGACCTTTATGGTCCGGTCGCTGTTGGCACAGTTGTTGATGATGGAGAGAGACTGCTGGAAGCGAGTTCCCCCAACCCCGATGACATCGGCGATCAGCTGACTCACGGCGATCACCACCTGTGCCAGCCGAGCAGCGAATGGTTGGTACCAAGCTGATGGACATGACCCCCAGTGACAGGCTCATGCTGAAAGCAGCGAGCCCCCAACCTCTCCCACCTGCAGGTGGGTGCGCACGAAGCACTTGCGGCCCGTGTAGTCGAAATTGCTCCTCATGAGGATGTAGAGCAAGCGGGCGGCATCTCCGCGGATGGAGCTGAGCTTGGAATGGCAGCACTTCAGGACCTCGTAGCACAGGGAGGCGCACATGTCTGCGCGTCCGTCGAAGAACGCGCACGGGAACTGGTGGGGAGGACGTGGAGAGAGGCCGGACAGAGCATCACTGCAGACGCCACGGAAACGCTCTCGCGAAGCTGGCAAGAGATCCCTGACTTTTTAAAGGCCTTCCTCAAGCTTTGGGAACCACCTACTGAACCCAATCTCGCCTCACCCGAAATCCAGTCTCAACATTCTCTGAGGCTTCCTGAAAGGCTCTCACCTTGAAGATCAAAGTACGAAGCGAGTCGAAGATCTGCCTGAGGGCAGTCTCTGACTGGTTGATCTGAAGGAAGCAGAGGTAAACCTCAAACACCTTCTTCATCAGGGGGTTGTGGCCGTAGTCGGCACATAGCTGGGCCTGCGGAAGCAAGGCGTCCCGTTAGGACAGCAGTCGGCAGGACAGGAACAAACCCAGCTCACAGGAACAGTGAAAGGGGAGAAAAAATTACACAACTAAGCAGTCAGTACTTGATTGTTTTGATCATTATTAATCAGCTTTGCTTTGTGAATTAATTTTTGCACATTTACTGCTAGGGGAGTCACTCAGCAAGCTCTGTTCCCTTTCTTCCATCAGGTCCTTATTTCTTACTTATTTGATCACACATCCATGGTAGGAAGTCCCCATCTCTGCCCGATATTCATTTGGGGATCGCTGGTTCAACAGTGGTTGAAACTACTCATCTAAAGGCAGGGATGTGGCTACAGATTTTGGAGCCCATGACACCATATTATATTTGCCCCCAACCCAGACCAATCTAACTATGTTCTAAAATTTATTTGGGTTCCTTTCACTCAAGGGCCCTTGGAATCATCCTAACTTTCTCCCCCTGTAATCCCTCTGTCTAGATGATTTATAAACGCAATCACTAAATTCAGGATTGAACCCAAGGGAACGACAGCAGTAACTGGGAGCCTTGTCCCTGGCCTCATGCACTGCTTATTTCCAGAAGATTCAGAACTCCATGCCGGGCCATTGGTAAGAGACAGAGCTAAGGTAGGTTTGCGGGTGGGGGCGGAGGGGGGGCAGTGCACCTTGAACGTTGTGATGAAGATGTTGAGGTTGTCCAGCACGGTGAGGCAGACCTCGGTAGCAATGCTCCCCTCTAGCAGAGACTGGTTCAGGACGTCAGCGTCCGAGTGGCTGTAGGCTGTGGGGGGGTAACGCACAACAGGACTCTGCTGAGGCTCTCACCCGCGACAGCGCCTCATCCCGTCTCTTTATACAGGAAAGACAGGCTGTCATGGTTACCAAGTTTAACTACCAGTGCAGTTATTCTCGTCACTAATGGTGTGCCTGAAGCCAGAAGCCAGTTTGAAGGCATTTAGAGTAAATATAAATGCTTGGAAATATAGTTGAAGACGAGAAGTGACCATAGTGATGGGAGAAACGAGGCTTAGAAGCCTGCATAGGGTGGGATGGCTGCACTCTGTATAAACACTGCCCAGTTTCACCCACCGGAAACCAGTAAAATAAACAGTGGGAAGTTAGTAAGTGACTGGACACAGTAATCTCACCCATCATGGTTTTCAAAGCCTCACTGCTCCCATCACTAGATAATGGTCAAAAGGGGGTAAATATCAGAGGGAGACGCATGAAGGCAGATGGGAGACAGAAGATTAAGAGGCACATTCCCAGATGGTACGCCATGCTCCTAAGGCTAACGGGCTTGTCACGGCTCGTGATGGCTCCAGCCTGCTCCACTCTTACCATGGTCTACAGAAATTCCAAGAACACTTGAAATCTTTCTTACACTGAAAACACAGAGAAAGCCAGTTCAATTAAGTGGCAAAATACCTTAGAGCAGCCCAAACTGCAAATGTTAGCCGAGGAACTCCACCTCAAGTCAATGCTACATTTAAACCAGCCGCCCAAAAGGAAATTCTACTACATCCTGGAACTTGTTGGTACTCGTTCTAATCCTCACCTTCCCATGAACCTTTTGGTGGATGATGGTCATTATATGATGTTCAAAATCATATAAAATGTCCAACAGGAGATGTGTTCATATTTCCACTTTATTTAATAAGTATTTAGTCCTTCAGTTTCCAATTACTTTGATAGAAATTGTAGAATTTATAGCGAAGAATACCAACTTACCAATAATGCACACTAATGTACATTTAATTTGGGTTAGGTACTTCAGTACATATTATAAAGTACTGTTATTAATTCGGTACCTTTGGATGGAACCCTCATTCAGGCTGTAATGTTCCCTGTACAGTAATTTTGCTGCTTGTTAGATCCAACCAGGGAATCGGTGCGGGCAGCGGTCAAATCGGGCATCGCGGGCAGAGATGAGAAGAGCGTGGCAAGGAAGAGGATGAGAAATAGGAGGGTGGGGCCTCAAGAATGGGGAGCATGGGGGTGGACTTACTGTGGTTAAAAGTGTAAGTGTTATCCAGGTTGTTGAGGTTCTGTAAGCGACCATGCATCATCCCCGCCCTGTTACGGGACACAGGCAGAGTCTGAAACCTGCGGTCCTGTGCTAGGGAGGCCAGCCCTTCCTGGTTCCTGACGAGGAAACGGGACACGGCAGGGTTAGCAAGCGGGTTAGAAGAACATGTGGGACGCACGGGTGGGGCCTAGAATTACATGAGGGGGAAGGGAAACTGTCCTTCAGATGTTTTTAGGTAGCCCTTAGATGATGCAACGCTAGTCTAGGACTCCAGTGGATGCACATGCAGAAGGTTAGGGTTCAGCTTGATCGCGGTCATCAAGCGTGGTCACGCTAAGGGGTGGGGGAGGTGGGGGTGTCTGTCAGTCATGCACGTGAAGGCAGCAGGATCCATGACGGAAACTGGCGATGCTCCGTGGTGTGACAGCATGAGTCTTCGGCGTGAGGGCAGGAGGAAGTGGTCATGCTCTCAGGGGAGGCGGGAGGCTGAGCCGGAGGCCCCCGGTGTCTTACCCAAGCAGAAGAGGCCGGGAGCCGCGTCTCACTTTTAATTTTTAGCGCATTAAACTTGCCAGCATTCGAGTGCCAAAAGAATGAAAGAGAGGTGAAGGGGATTAAGGAGAGTGGTGACCCAGAACCGCCAGGTGACCCAGAGCCCGCAACAGACCACTGTCAGACAGAAGAGTGTGTGTGTGTGTGTGTGTGTGTGTGTGTCTGTCTATAATGGAGCAGAATTCCGCATTGGCTACTAAAAAACACATCCATACATCTGTTATGAGACAATTATACTTTTTTGCTTTAGCTTATTAGGAGGAATATTTTCAAATGACCCTGTGACAGTGTTTTTCTTTTCTTGTTGTCATTATAAGTTTAACCCTTCAGCTGACATACTGTACTCAAAGAATTCCCAGTGAGGACGACCTTACCTGGCAATGTATCTCTTCCCCATGTACCTGAACTGATACAGACACAGTCTGCAAACAGAAAATCTGCATTGGTCTTTTAAGAAACACAAAGACAGATTTAGAACTTTCTCGCAGAATTCATGTGTTCATAGTCAGATGAGGCACCGATGGAGGGAGCTGGAGGAGCTTAAAAGTTCAGACTGCAATGGCGCAGTTTGATAAGCCCCATTATTCCCGGGGCTGTGGTCAGATCGGTCAAATTCTCAGACTGTGTTAAAGCGAGAATGTGGTCAGAGGGCCAGACTCACTCTACGAGTGTAAAGAAGTCCATCAGCTCAGCCTGGCTGGACTTGTTCCAGTACGCAAAGAGAGCATCTGAGGGAGAAACGAGGGGGTCAGACCCAGGTGATAAGACAAAACCCAGCTGTGACTCTTATGCGTGGGGGCGTGGCCAGTCAGCACATGCCAGCAAGCTGCGTTCCAGCACGAACGAGGACTTACCTGCTGACATGCTCTTCATCACATGCAGGAAACACATGAGAAGGCTCTTGATTTCAGCCTGATCCAGCTTGTCACAGCGCAGAATGGTGCCATGCTGGGCCTACAAAGTTGTGGGGGGAAAAAAGAGTCAGGACCCCAGCCCAGCTCCCTCCCCCCGAAGTGCTCGTATTACTGTTTACACACACGTATGGTCAGAAGCTCATGGATAACCTAATGGCGCACAGAGAAGCTGACGGCATCTGAAAGAGGAGGCGTTCAGTGTGTTTAGTGTGTTAGCAGCTCAGCCAAGAAGACCAGCGTCACTGTCATGGAGAGATTTTAGCTGGGTGAGGCCCATACAAAGAGAGATGGCAGCTGGGAGGGCGTCTGAAGAAGAGGGGGGGCGGGGGGTTTCCATGGCGAGGCTAAATGAGCACTGTCTCACTTTATACAGGACAGATTTTAATTAGGTTATTATGATAAGTAAGGAAGCGGGGGGGGGGGCACCAACCACCAGGAAGGCAATGATGTAATCTGGTGGTGAATAGTGGGTGGGGCTTTGGGCACACTGACAATCATATGCACACCTGCATCCACGTACACGCACGCAGTCACACACAAACACATCATTCGAGAGCTGCGGGCAGACTCACACACAGATATGCACGCCTGCATCCACATACAAGCATGCACACACACAAACACATCATTCGAGAGCTGCGGGCAGACTCACACACAGATATGCACACCTGCATCCACAAACACGCACGCAGTCACACACAAACACATCATTCGAGGGCTACGGGCAGACTCACATACAGATATGCACACCTGCATCCACAAACACACACGCAGTCACACACAAACACATCATTCGAGGGCTACGGGCAGACTCACATACAGATATGCACGCCTGCATCCACATACACGCACGCAGTCACACACAAACACATCATTCTCATGCAGACTTCAAGACAAAGAAGGGAACTGGGTGTTGGGCTGAACATCAAATAAAAATGTTGTACTTGGAGCAAAATGCCATCATGCACAATATTTTCTGGCAACTCCAGGGTGGTGCGCTTGGTGCGTGCGGGCGTGGCAGGGTCCTCGACCTCGGGAACGAGCGGCAGCACGAAGGCCGAGTGTCTCCGGGTCAAGCGCTCCCTCTGCCAGCGGAGGCGGGAGGAGAGGGGGGGTCAGCAGTGAGGTTAGTGTACAGGTAGGACCGCAGGGGCCCTCTGCGTTCTGGCCTATGGTGGGACACGGACCCGGTCGTCTGTAGGGATCCATGTTCTGAGTGGCTTCCCTTTATGGTGCTTCAGTGACAAAGGACAAACGGTCACAGGTACGGCACATCCATCCTTACCCATAATGCACCCAGTGCTGTAACCTGAGCGCCCTGATATCTGCAATAATACCAAAACCACAGCTCCCCGGGCAAAATAAAGCACGGGCTTCTCCAAGTAGCCACACCATTCATTCTGGACCAGTGGTCACCAACTGGCGTACGCCAAACTGAAGTGAAATTCAATCGTTATTCATGCCCCCTCCCATTTTTTTGGACCTTTGGGGTTTGTGCTGCTGATGGAATTTAACCCTCAGGGAAGAACAGTTGGGGGCACCTGCTTTCTCAGACTCGGCCTTGGGGACCCCCCCCCCCGACAGTCCCCCCCAGGACTAGTTTGAGAATCACTGCTCTACACCATGACTGTTTTGCTGACTGTGTGCGACAGGTTAAGGAGCGAAGGGGAGGTATTCACCTTGTCCAGCGAGTTGGTCTTCTCACTGGTCCTCTCCAGGAGGCTGTTGCTGGAGTCTGAGCTGACGAGGGAGCCCCGGGAGTCAGAATGGAACACCGAAGTGGGGTTGGGCGTCGAGGGGGTGTGTGGGGAAACTGTGTGGGGGGAGGGGGGGGAACCTCTGTCACCTGCTTAAATACGTTGCTCAAGAGTACTTTAGCAAGGCTCACTGAGGAGAACCAGGCACCTTTAGATAGTAATGCAGTGCACCTTTTCATAGACTTCAGAGTAACATTGATTAATTCAACTTGATAGTTACTGATGAAACCAGGCACTTTGCTTTGCAGCACTGATACATTTATTAAATAAGTTTTCTCCGGTTTCTGTGCTTTCTGTTGACCATGCTCATGCTTACCTGATCCGGAGAAGACCCCAAACACCTCCCTATGCACGCTGCTGCTGTTGTCCAAGCTGCTTCCCGGCCTCTGTGGAGTTGCCATTGCATTGGGCAGAAGAAGCTCATCTCTCCCATTCTTGTTTTACGAGAAGAACCAAGGGTCACAGAGGCTGTTCATGTTGCGATTCTGCGGTCGCCACTAGAGGGCACTCTTACATTGTTTGACTGGTTGATGGAGAAGGGGGACACGTCCCTCACATTAAGTCTGTGGACGTTCTCCTGGAGCAGGCCGAAGAGAGGCAGGTAAAGGGTGACCAGTCTGGCCTGCTGCATCTGAAAGACGGGAAGTCATTTCAGCCGTGGTGAGACACCCTGCACAAGACTGGCTGCACCTCTGTTGTTCCAAATTTCAGTAAGAAGAAAATGTTATGGGAGGGAAGCTGCAAAGAGAAAAATGACTGAATTCCAGTCACAGATAGTCAATGTTTGAATCTATGATGATGGTATGTGAGAACCCTAGTAAGTTGGTGTCTGCACAGAAAGAAAATAGGAAAATGGAAATCAAAGGAAGATTCATTAATATAAAAAAGTAACATTTCCTAACCATATTTAAGTTGATTCAAATATTTTCCATATTGACACACATTTGGAGTGCGATAATGTAGCGTGATCAATACTGAACGCATCAGTTGCTCAGCCTCACTGCACCGGTTCCTGATATTTCATAGCTTTGCCACACCACTACAATGCCACGTGATGTCTGTGTGTAGTTTATGTATATATTACCAAATGTCTCCACAATATGATAAAAACATGTTATTTTCATGTTGTGATGATCATTTTTTTTCAGTCCCCACAAGAGGAAAATCAGTTTTCTAAAAATTTGTGACTTTTAGTTAAAAAAGCAAAGACAAAAGTCTTGTATTTTTTTTGGTTACTTATGGTTAAGGGTAGGGCTGGGTAGGGGTTAAGGTTGCCATTGTTGGGATAAGGGTTCTTCCCACAGAAATGAATGGACGGTTGTAAATATATAAATTTACAATATATTTGTACATTGTAAATGTATAAATACATACATGGACTCTATGTGTGTGTGTGTGTGTCTGTTTGTGTATGTGTCTGTGTGTGTGTGTGTGTGTGTATGTGTGTGTGTGTGTGTGTGTGTGTGTGTGTATGTGTGTGTGTGTGTACACAAACATGCATTCAGGTTTCTGTGATTATTTTTTTAGTGGTACTTAGCTACTTTGGTTTGATCCGAAGTGGTCCAGAAAGTTTGAGAATCTCCGCTCTAAAGTGATTTATAATTTTACATATCTAGAGATATTACCAAGAGCAGTGCAGTTTAAGTATCTTGTTAGAAGTTACTACACCAGGGTCCCAAATGGTCCATATCCTTAAATACTTAAACTATCAAGAGTGTTGTTGGGTGGATTTCTACCTTGGAGGCATAGCGGTCGTCGAAGGTATGCTTGACCAGCAGGCTCTTGAGCACGTGGATGGCCACCTGGCGAATCTCCCGGCACTCCTGCAAGGCTCCGCCCACCTCCCGCAGGAGCAGCCCCACCAGGAAGTGGTTCCGGCAGAAGTCGTCCGTTAGGGAGTAGTCCAGCTGCAGGTCTGGGAAGGGAGGAGAGCATGAGGGAACAGAGGAGGGAGAGGTCCTTTTCAGAGACATGCCGCTTGGCCTGAGCATCAAAGAATTTTGGGTCTCTAGCTCCGCGAACCCTAACCCTACACTACTTCCCCAAATCAGACTCCGGAACTTAAATTTGAAAAACTGACCTTTCTACAGTATGTTACTGACTCATGCAGTTAACATCTAAGACAACAGTCAAGGTCAAGCAAAACAAAGGAGGAGGAATTTCCATGCTTAAGAAATTCCGCTTCATGCTTTACGTTTCGAGGGATATTTGTGGGGTGTGCCTCTGACAATGAGACTCAAAATGGAAAACAAACCTATTTCACAATCATAATTATGACTTTATTTGCTCCCACAAAACATCTACGATCATGAACACAAACAAAATAAATGAACCTCCCTCCCAAAAGGATGGTCTTGCGTAAACTGGCAAAGTGTTTTCTCCTGTTTCTTGCATAATGAGCCCACGGAAACAGAATAAGACTTTGTGCACACTGAATATTTTCACTGACCTCACATCCATGGTGTAACATCGATTTATTCAAGATGTTACACAAGATGTCAACATAATGTTACTACCAGAGCCTAACAAAGCTAAAAATCTGTACAGAATTCTTATTAAATCTGCATTAAGTCTGTATCAAGTTACTCCCTTTTACAGGATGGATATAAAATGGTCAGTAGGTGATAATTTTAGTGATCCTCGTATGGGCAGAAGACGTATGGTCACCAGTAATCAATGCTACTTTTTCGGCAACTAATAACTTTTATAGAAGTAAGGCAAGTGAATGTCACAACACTGAATTTTTCATAGAAATTCTAGTGTCCAGTGGCCCAAACATCCAACCACTGATTATACAGAATGCAAAATTATTGCAACAATCAATCAATCAATCAATCATTTATTTATATGGCACTTTACAACACTAAAAGTGACCAAGGCGCTTCACAATTAAAACAAAAATATAAAAATAGGAGGTAAAATAAAAACTTGGTGAATTTAAAATAGAATGAGGTATCACAAATACACTACAACAAATATGAGAAACACAATACATAAAAACATAATAGAATGTCGAAAGACACAGCGTGGGGGACATGAAACAGTAAAATGTCAGCCCCAACCAAATATTAAAAGCTTTCCGAAATAAATAAGTCTTGAGTTTCGATTTAAAATGGTTGTAGTCAAAAATGGTACGAATCTCTGGGGGTAGTTTGTTCCACAGACTAGGTGCAGCTACAGAGAACGCTCTATCTCCCCATTGTTTGTATTTAGACCTTGGAACTTCTAAAAGAAGTTGGCCAGCTGATCGTAGGGTTCTACTGTGTCTCCTGACGGTTAATAATTCAGATAGATACGGTGGAGCAATGCCATTTAGGGATTTAAAAACAAACATTAAGAGATTCTGGAATGTACAGGGAGCGAGTGAGATGACATGAATATTGGCGTAATGTGTGCACACTTAGGAGTTAAAACACGTGCAGCAGCGTTCTGTACAGGTTGGAGACGATTTATAAGGGATTGAGAAATGCCAAAATAAAGGGCATTGCAGTAATCAAACCTACAGCTGATAAAAGCATTAATAGCTTTCTCGAGATCAGAGTGATTTAAGAAAGGTTTAACCTTAGACAGGAGGCAGAGCTGAAAAAAGCTTGTCTTAACCACCGTATTTATCTAATGAGTGATCAGTGGACATAACTGATTATACACAAAAAAATGGCCTGACGCATGGGCTGAAATTGATCAAGCACTGGTCTAACTGCCTATTTTCAAACTGATATATCTACCGTAAAAAAAAGAAATTTCAAGCTCTCAAGAACATGAGTTTTCCCAAATGTCTTTGGCTGAAAAAATCTTCAGGAATATACAGAGCCACAACAAATCTTTATTGCAAAATTATCAAATCACCAATTTTAACCAAATAGTCATGCATCCAGGATACGTCCGGGATGGGGGGGTAGTTAGGACAATTCCAAGGACCCTGGAGTGACTGGGGCCCTAAAAAAATTGGAAAATAACTGGATTGGGTGGGCTCAATATGATATGCTTTCATGGGGCCCACAATCTTTAGCAATGCCCCTACATACGTCACTCAATGGCAGGGTCACATTCTGAAAAATGCGTTATTAGGCTATTTTCTCATTGTGTGAACATCGTAGAGTGCACTTACACAAACCTAGATGGTACTAGACACACCTAGGCTATTTGGTATAGCTTAAGTACAATAAGTAAATACATAACAGTAACAAATGTTTATCTTCAATACATAATTGTATATGCTAATCTGTTATGTGACTGGCAGCACAGGTTTCCTTACACCAGCATCACCACAAACACATGAGAACGCATTGTGCTACAACATTACAATGGCTATGACATTGCTAGGCTATAGGAATTTTTCAGCTCCATTATAATCTTATGGGACCATTGTCTTACAGTATATGTTGACATTCATTGACCGAAACATCGTTATGTGGCGCATGACTGTACACACAGTGACATGAAAAATATGAGTGGATATAAAATACACAGTCAAATGAGAGAAATACAGCCAGGCTCAACAAATAACAGCCCAACTACAGTCCACGTGACAGATTTTATCGATTCATGAAACAACATTCATAAAACAAGGGGACAAGTCATTCATTCAACATAGCAGACAGAGGCAATGGTGTCTCGAGAACTCATTCATTCTGCCCCTCAGATCTTAGATGCGATTTCAAAGTGCTTATTGCATTGCACCAAAAGTCAGACAGCACATCTTGCACCTACCTACAGGAGTATCGTGTGACTCCAAGTCAGGGCAAAGTGAGGCTAATATACAAAGAGGGAAAAGAGTAATAAAAGCAGACAGACAGAGAAATAAGTGACAGTTAAAGGTCGTCAAGCTGAGACAGCAAGAAACCAGACGCTGCTAAAACGCACAGAGATTACATTCTGATTATATTCACTACTACTGAAGTTCTCAGTAAATTGACCCTTAAATTCACTGTTTGCAACAGCACATCTTCTGCACAGCCAGAATCTTCTCACAGATACTTACTGTCCCAAGCCAGTGAAGCTCATTGCTATGGTCCAGTATCTGATCAGGCAAGACTAACCAAACATTCCCAAACTCAACCTCCTGAGGGTGATCACAAATGAATAGGAAATATACATTTGAATGATCTTATCTGCAAAGTGGGGAGATATACCTTGAAATTTCTGGATTCGGCTGTTTCCAAACGGTATGGGCAAATTTAAGGGAATGTAGTGCTCATGGTTGCAGACAACTTGCAGGAACTCAAACTTAAACTCATAGAGAATCTGAAAAAGAAACTGATTTTAGGTTCTGCAAGCCAGGAAAACCATCCCTTGTGTTCGCTCACAGACAGATCAGGTGACGTGTCAAAGTCAAGTTGTGGAAGAAAATGTATATTTAACATGGATGTGTGGACATACACACACACAGACACACCCATACACACACATACAGGTTTGTAATTATATCTTTGTAGTGACTCTCCATTCATTTCTATGGGGAAATCTCTAATCCCAACATAATGACCTTAACCCCTACCCAGCCTTAATACTAACTATAAGTAACCAAACAATGCAAAATACAAGTTTTAGTTTTTAGTTTTTTATTGCATTCATAGATCATTGTGGGGACCTGAAAAATAGTCCCCACAACGTAAAAATAACAGATTTTTATCACATTGTGGGGGACATTTGGTCCCCACAATGTAATATAAACCTAATCCACACACATGTACACACTTCATTGTGGGGGACATTTGGTCCCCACAATGTAATATAAACCTAATCCACACACATGTACACACTCTAACATGAAGATAACACAATACATTTACAGTAACGCTAACACACCAAAATGGGGATCAAAAACACTTATCTGGGTCATTAACACACAAGACTGGACCTACCTTAGGGTCTCCTGGCCCAAAGCAGCTCATATAGGTGTTGATCTGCTTAAGCACAAAGCCCCTGTCCATGAAGGTGAAACAGCGCTGTGAAAACAATGAGGTATGAGATTAAAATGAAAAAATCCCATTACTCAGGACGAACAGGCAGAAATCACACAGTACTACTATGAAAACTATCGACATTGATCGTCACAGCCACATGCCACCGGCAATACAACGACACGGCAGTGGGTGAGACCTCTACCTTAATAAAGACAGCCAGGCTGTGATTGGCATTACGTGCTGCAGCCGGGTAGTCCCTCCACCCCTGCGTGATGTGGGGCATCGTCATGACGATCAGCGTCTCAACAATGCCGTGGAAGGAGACTGGGAATCGCTGTTTCCTGGCCAGCTAAAGAAGGAGAGGACATCAGCAGACAGGTGTTACAGGACCAGCCTATCAGCCACCAAACGAGGACCCAGTCGTCTTCCATCGCTGCCCGATTGCATAGCCCTGCTAACACAAATAAATCACAGGTGCTTTTACTTACCCTTACTTTAGAGCATTCTATCAAGTACTGCGCCACGGACTTCACTAGAACTTCAAAAAAAAACCAGGAATACTAAAAAAAAAAAGAAATGGGAGTTAGACACTTTTAAGAGGGTGAGCTGCAGCACTGAGAGCTGAAGTACAGAAAGGCACCTTGAGCAGCTTGCTGCTGGTCTGGGCATCGGTGGCTCTGAGGATGGCGGTCATGCTCTTAGCCAGCTCCTCGTGCACAGTCCTCTCGCAGGCCTTGGAGTATGGTTCCATTTTAAACACACACTGCAGAGCAGAGGACAGCGCTACGTTAAAAACTCTGGCGTGGCGGGATGTCAGATGTTAGACCGTGTCAGATGTTTGCCATCCTCGGTATGGGTGGGAGCAGGAGAAAAACGAGCCTTGCCTTCACATAGGAGTGCAGGTAGTGTTCAAGGCCCTCCTCGTGGCAAAGGCTGACGACGTGAATCATCACTCTGCAAACAGCCACAGGCCCGAAGTCAGACAAGGAGGCCCAGATAAAACATATAAAACTGTACTTCACTGCACTTCGAGAAACATTAATGGGACTGGACTTCACTAAAGTTTGATGAACACCAGCACCACCATATTGTCAGCCTTAGTGACCCCCTTAGTGACCACCTGCCTGGTGATGTTGAGCGCCACATCGACGACATTGGCACTGGTGAGCACTCGGAACAGCTGGTTGAGTATTGTGGGCAGGAAGTTGATCGTCACGTGACCTTCCATGGCATGCAGGCTCTGCAGGAGGAAATGCCGTATGATTAGTTGTGCCCCTCTACCTGGCATCCTATCCAAGGTACACCCCGGCTTTATGCCTTGTGCTGCCTGGGAAAAGGTTCTGGCAACAAGCGCAAGCTCATTCAGGATAAGTGATCAGAAGATGGATGGATGGATGGATGGATGGAAGTTCCCGCACTCATGACTCAGATCTCCAACAAGCGCCTCGGCAGCAGCTACCACGCTGTGTGACCCCGACTTGTGTAAAAATATATTCAGAACTTCATATGGCTATTCGTTTGCTGAAATATTTTTCCAGGACAGTACAAAATTTTCCAGGAGATTTTACTTTTTCTCTCAATTTCCATATGTTTTCCATGACTGGAAAATTGGTTGACTATTTTCCGGGATTTCCAGGACGAGCAGGAACCCCGAGGCTTCCCAAACACCTGGAGATGCGCGGGTGGTGCGACAGCTGGCGGTGTGGGGGCCTGGGGTTAGAGGGTGGTGACCTGCCATCTCTCCTCACCTTCAGGTACTTGATGACCTCCTCCTCTGGTGGCTTGGCAGCAGAATGCATGTTCTGACACTGCTGGAAGAAGTTGTGTAGATGCTGATCCTACGGAGATGACAAATGAAGCCAACAAAAACAGATGAAAAAAAAACACAAATGTCATTCAAAATTTCCAAACATGTAATTATAAGTGTAGCCCTGCTGGCCTCTCACCTGAGTGTAGACAGTGGAGACCAGGTGAGTAGACACTTTAAACAGTGGCTTCCCACCATCAACCCATTTAATGTCAGGGCCAGGACTCTGTCATGGATGAACAGGAATTTTCATATGTAACTGCAGTGGACTGATATCGATGACTATTACACAGGTAAGAAACTGATGCATTATCTATCATCCATCCATCTATCTATCCATCCATCCATCCATCCATCCATCCATCCATCCATCCTATATACACACACACACACATTTATATGACTTCATAAAACACTACAGCTGGGTCACACCATATAACAACACTCACAAAATCCTCAGCACTCAAATGATTTCAAAATCTTCTAAGGAATTAATTTGCCGATAATAAGAGGTGATTACTGAGCCCTGATATAAACACCATGCTGCTCACCTTGCCAATACTCTCCTGGCAGCCCAGATACCCTGCGGGTAAAGTGGCCGACACCTGGATGTGCTGCTCGTTTGTCACCACTCTGCCATCTCTCAGCAGGGGGAGCCAGGCGTAGCCAACTAGGGACATGGCACAGAGAAGCCAGTCACAGAAAGGTCTAGAACTGACATCATGATTTCAGTAGATTTCACTGAAGGAGGTAGAGTCAGGAAGGTCAATAAGAAAGAGCAGAAGTGAGATATTTGCAGTACTTCTGTTTACCGAACAACGTAGTATCTGCCCCCCCCCTAGCCTTCCGGTAGGAGGAGGAGTTGGAATCGCCATGCAGCTCGTGGGGGTGCGTAACACCAGGAGTCCCACCTTGACTCTCTACTGCCTCCTTCCGCTTGGTGCTGGCTTTGTTGTTGTTGTCACAGCCCACATGGTAAAAGGTAAAGAACAGGTGGTGCTTTTCGTGGAGCTGAGTGGGCAGTTCCATCTTAATCTGGGGGAGAAGTGGCGAGAGCAGTGAGCAAGCAGCTGACCCCCACATACAAAATGGTAAACAAAGGCCATACTCTCCACACTGATTAACCACGCTTCTCTGAGTAGAAAATATCGATTCTCACCTCATCGTAAAATTCTGGGTTCTGCTGGTGGTGCAGGACGGTTGTGAAGGCACTCTGGGTAAACAGGGGCCCCCCTGGTCGCCCATAGATGCACTGTGGGGACACCAGACAACATTCAGTCATAGAGCATGGAAGGCAGACTGATAGAGACTGCCCTGGTGGGCCTGCTCGGGGTCATGTGACCAGGAGATTACCTTCAGTGCCTGAGCCTCCTCCTCATCAGAGTCCTTAAACTCAACGCAGACAGTGATGTTCCTTGCCTGGGGAGGGACACATGCCTGTCACAGTCTACAATGATGAATTATTTATATGCCCCTTTCAAGAAGTTAATCTAACTAGTGATTTCACTGATGCTAACGTTCAACTTAGATAGACAAACATCTAAAATCCTTCCCATTCAGAGAGGCTGAAGACAAGTTAGAGCCGTGATACTGTACAAGTTTATATTTGCATCTAAGAATGAATTCCTGTCACGAAGATGCATTGAGAGCATGTGTCATCACAGGTATCAACATCAACGGAACTCAAACCAGTGTTCAAACCTTGGCAAATGCCTTCTGGCCATCGTACTTCAGGTATCGCGGATACACATAGAGGTGATTGTTGTACACAGTGAAGGGCTGTGAGCACTTGGGTATGCATGGCACAAACTCTTCCACCTCGAAGAAGACCTCGGCTATCCTGTTGTTGTCAAACTGCTTGACTGGGATGTAGGATGAAGTCACACAATCTATGCTCACAAGGGGAGGGTAGGGGGAGAGAAGAGCACCAATGAGAAGCATTCTCATTTGGAGAAAAATGTGTTTTCAGCATGCTTCGGATTTGGAGAGCTTACTCGTCATGTCCAGGGCAACGCCGTCAATGGTTATGTCTAGATTTCCTAAGATTACGGGGAGCTTGGCCATCTTTTCAGGCCTAGAGACGAGAAGAAAATAAACACCAATTAATGCCATTAATATGTTTTACCCTGAGCCACTGGCCCAGACTAAGCTAATACAGAGACTAGAAAGTAGGGAAACATCTGCTAAACGTGCAGAAACTGGCTGAACAAACAGGAGTATAAAATCTGTGTGTTAATAACAGAACGTTTCACTTTCCCTCAGGAAAATTACGTCAAAATTCTGACAGAGCCTAATCTACATTAGCTTGATGAATCGGACAAGGAGAGTGTTGCCCATTATACTATAAGTACTCGTCACTGTAAAATATGTCTTGGATCAGCTCAGTGAGAAAGTCCACAGGCCAGAGACAGACTAACTTTCTGAAATCAGCCAGAAGCTTGAGCATATCTTCGTTCGAGAGCTTGCCGCTGTCCTGCCGGTAGATAGGGGAGAAGCGGCTGACTCTGTCAAGCGTCCCTGAGGAGTCTTTGAACAGGGGCCTGTGAAGGAGCACAAGAAGAGACCTCTGTTGAAAAGAGTGCAGCTTCCAACGTGTTACACATCCTCTGAAGGTTCCACTCCGTTCATCTTTCTGTTAAGTGCAACAGGGTTTCCTCTGATGTGAGCTCACAGTGGAGCCACTGGAAACACAAACAGAGCTTGGTGATCCGGGCCTCCTTTGGGACAGAGGACACGCAGCCATTTTCACTGCAGATTGAGATGTATTAAGCAGACAGCTGGCATAGGCAAGCCGCCTCATGAATAAGGGCACGGCTGAAAAATAGCCAGGTTTTTATCTTGGCTGAAAAAAGCCAGACCTAACCAAACCACATGGGCCCTTCAGGGGAAAATGCTGACTAAGACTCTGTGCCACTGCACAGTTTAATAAGCTCTGTAGAAAATGTTCATGGCCTTTCTGTTTGCTCTTAGGCGATGTTTGCTTTAGTGGCATGCTATAAAACACCATGGCTATTATTTTGTTGCTTATTACTTATACTTAAAATTGCACCAATTTATGCAGCTAGGTATTTCACAAAAGGAATTCAAATTATTTATATTACTCAGGAGTTCCCCTGGAAGAGCTCGGCATTAACAACCACCATTCTACTCGCGGCCCTGTCTATGTCTTTTGGGAGAATCTCCTCTACAGTTACAGGGCTTCTCCAGTCTCTCTCCAATCTGCATTTGATCTTCTCCTTCTTACCTTGCCGCCCATGCAAACGGCATCCGGTACTGGCCCAGTCTGCTGCATGCCAGTCTGGCATTCTTCAGGACCTTCTGTGCAACCTGAACTCCAAGATATATCGACAGCAGGAAAAACAGTTAGCTTCACCTACTGGAAAACCTGGTGCTCGAACTGATGTTTATCTAATATTAGCGACTCCCTGAAACTCAACTGATGGCTTCGGTGTTAATTATTCAAGGTTTTCACTGATGTAGAGACCACAGTCTTCACTGGCTCACCACTGCCATACCTTGGCAGAGTCGGAGTTCTTCATGTACGGCTCGGCGCAGTGGGTGATGCCCCCTTGCAGGACCTTCTCGATGCGTGCCACTAGGAAGATGTCGGGGTGAGGACACGTCACCGAGAACACTCCCTGGAAGGACACAACCACTGACACTTAGAGCGCCCCCTAACTTTACAGCACCTGCACCAATCAGACCACCTGGTTATGAAATATCACACAGGCAAGAAAAACACAGAGGTCTCCCCATCCAGATAATGCTTCTTCTGGTTCTGCAGTTCTCTTCCAAACAGCTCTCCTCACTGAGGTAATAATCCGCCTTTGTTCTCGGTTATCCCGAAACGGCCTTGAGACTCCCCACACCTCTGTCGGCAGCTTCGATGGTGGCCTTAGCCATGCTGCGGTTTTTCTCAGATTAGGCCGTGATAAAACAGGCATGCAGTGACCTCCCACATTTCCATCAACTGTGAAAACCAGTGCTGGACAACTTCATACACAGTTGCTACAAAGCGTTTGCATTTTACAAGGGCATGGAGGGATAGTTCTTTAAAATGGTTCTGCTAACATTTTTTATTGTTAACCGTATATGCTATTATTGTTGTTGTACCTGTCGAGTAGATACTCTTCTCCAGAATGACTTACAGAGCTACTGTTTGACCTTTTGTAAGTGGGAAACGGGGCTTGGACGCAGATGTTCTGGGGCATGTAACAAGTTCCTCAGTCATGTTGTCTCTTCCTTGCTCATAATAACTATATAAGACTGACTTTTGTTTCTTCTTGCTCCCTAATAAACTCTGATGCTTAACCCAACCCAGAGCTGCTGTTGTTCAGTATCCCAAGCCGGTTGTTTTGAGTGTGTATCTATCTATTTTTCTTTTTTTTTTATTCAGATACCAATATGTCATCCTCTATCACTTTTGTTTTTCTTGCAATTTTTTTAATTCAGCACCACGCCTGTCTGTAAACAAATTTCCGATTTCGTCCTACCATCCCTGTGTCACATGGCTCTCTCTGCTATACCCATATATTACTGAGGTAACAAGTCTGTCTCTCTCCTTGCAAGCAGAACTTCTCCTAAGACAAGAGCTGGGCATCTTTCTGTTACAAGGCTGCACCCTAGATTGCAACCTGCAGGATATTCAACACGGAATCCCCACCTGTTTCGGGTATAGCAGCAGTTCCTCGCGCAGCCCGCCGACCGACCTTGGCCTCCCCAGGGGGCTGTCACCACCCCAGTTCACCTGCTGGCTGTTAGCGGGGGAGACCATCTGCCGGACTGATGGGTGGTTCAAGTCCACATGAAAGTCGGCCGAGATCTTCCTGCTATTTTGTATGTCGAAGAGTGAGAATGTGACGAAAAATGGCTCGACCTGCAGGAGTAGATGAGTGACCCACGTAAACACATTTTATAACAGGAAGCAACACAGCAGTTGCATTATTAAGAGCAATGTGATCTGTCAGAAGGCTTAACCTCTGACAGGTATTTAATCATTATAAATAATGTGCAGTACCCAAGGTGAGCTGGTGATTAAGGGCCTGACTCATATCCCAGGCAGACTTGCTATTGTACTCTTAAAAGGTACTGTACTTAGCCTGAACTGAGATGCAAGACAAGTGGCTGACCTGTGGCAGATGGGGGGGGGTGGAATACTGAGTGCACTGCACTGATCTGAGAACAGCTGATCTGAAGCTGTGAGCTGAGATCCTGAAGACTCAAGCCTGCCTGCCTAATGTATAGATCCCATTTCGTAGTAGGGAGAGGGGAAGACGGCACAATGCAGGTTAATTTTGGGAAAAGACCCAAGCCCCAAAAATGTAAAAGATTTGTGTTAAGAGAAACAGAACACTAAACTGAAATGATTATTTACGCACCACGACAGCAAGAATTGACAAACACTACATACTATGTACAAAGCCACAAGGAATAAGAAAATTATCGGTCCCTGGGCTGCATCATGCGCAGTGTCAGATATCATAATAAAGACACTAATGTACAGCCTTCGCTGTGCACCACATCTTATCCTGACATATATTTTTATGGGGCACTGTGTAGTTCATTGGGTTATGGATATAACTGTGTGCAGAAGGTTGTGGGTTCCAATCCCATGGCTGGCACAGTAATCATATCACTATTGGGTCCTAACTGCTACAGGCGTGATGGATCCTGGTTGACCATACTTTTGGATATTAGCTTCTGCCAAAGAAAGAAATGTAAACGGTTACTGGAACCCTGGGAAAAACTACATCAGAACCGTGCCACCGGAATGCAGGTTAGGGTACCATGACAACTGCCCCTCTGCCCCATGACAGATGGAGAAATGGAGAAGAGAAGGGCAGGCCCTGGAGTGGCTCACGTTTGTCGTGGGGCCTTCTCCACTTTCAGACACGCAGGTCTGCAGGTTGAACGACAGCTCGTTGCACTTCACCAAAATACGTTTGCCAAACTTATCCTCGAACGGCTTGATGTCTGGTTCAATCCCTGAGAAGTCGAGTTTCTGAAAATAGGATTAATAAATATAAATATCATTACACATCTGCTCACCATAACTAGATGACAGGTGAGGGTCAGAGGGACAATTTCCTGTTTTATTTTTTTGTTTTGCTGACCTGAGTATCTGGATCCAGGGCAAACAGCTTCAATCGCACCTCGTTCCGCAGCCTAGATTCAATGTCTTTTACACTCTGGAGAAAGCAGAATTAACACATCATCATCAAATCTGGTTTCATTACACTATCATGTGCCCCAACAAGTTTACATTTGTTTACACTGTTAGAATCAGAAATATACCATCAGAGGATGAGTGGAGGCCCGGAATCCATCAGGATAACTCTTAAATAAAAAATGCCAAAGAAACGGGTGATAACAGGTCTGGCTGCCAGCAGGAAACCCGCTGTGCTGAGCTGAACTCAAACTGTACTGATGCACTGAACCCAAACTGTAGCAGTGAGCTGCAAGCAAACTACAGTAGGATGTGTGAAATTGTTTTATTACCCAATTATCTGTATGACAGTTATAATCTATTAGTGACAATCACAGCTATCTGACCCCACATTTTGGACCATGACTACAGTGCTGTCAAACCTCAGACTGGGTGGGGCAGAGCCAAGGGCTGGGCGGGTGGTTAAGAGGATTCTGAAGGTATGGTGGGAGCTTCTGGAATGTAGTTGAGTCACTGGGTTGTTCCTCAGATTCACAGCTCAAACACACGCACACACACACACACACACACACACACACACACACACCTGCGGACATATGGTCAGGTTTTGTCCCAGGACATTTACACCAGGAGAGCTGGCCACTTTGTGGTCAAGCTGGTGAGATATTTGCCAGGTGACACTCTCAACACTCTCTCCTGACACATACCGAAGTACAATTATCCAGGATTTTCTGAATACCACAGGATGAAAAAAGTCCAATACTATAATAAGAAACGACATGTTCAAATATTCAAATATTTGATCATTATACATCATTGAGAACAAAATTTGCCTTAACACTTAACAACTGAATTTTTTTTTCTCCAAAGTAATTTGCTGTTTTTATTAGCTAAGTTTTCCTGATGTTATTCTGGTCATAATCACTTCCATCAACAAATGCTACTAATGTCAAGTGGCAGAGATCAGTACACGCTTCCCCCCATGTGTGTGCAGACAGCCAATCGCATCCTTTTTCGATCTGTAGGTCAGATGATATAATGCTGAGGAAGGGGTGCGGCGTCAGCCCAGCACCATTCACAGCCCTACAGGAAACCATTTAACAGGGACAGCAGATGTTGCTGTAGAACACCAAGTTTTAGGAACCGAGCCTAAGGAATGTGGGCTTCCCCAAAACAAATGGCTAATATAGCATGGTGGAGATTAAACCCGGCTTGTGGCTGTAGGATACAGAACACATTGATTGATCTATAGAGCTGGATATTGCAGTGAAATTATTTAAATGTTCTACATCATTCTCCCTCTTAAGGCCAGAACCAACTCCACTACCACAAGCCTTAAATAAACTTTTTCCAAAGCTGTGACAGATGCGGTTCAGACCATATTAGTAAAGCACCCAACAAAAACATGTAACATCTTATTCTGTTGACATGAGAGGACCTATAGTCTGCTCACAGCTGGCAAAAACATCCTGGCACAAGGTACAACTGGAGTGCAGTGTGAATTTCACTGCTGAACCAGTGCCCACCTGAAAGCTGTCTAGACTCGCAGAGGAACCATCTGCTTTTCCTGACTCGTCATCTGCGAAGAAAACAGAGCGTTCCTGATTATTCAGAACCAGTGAGAATCCCAGCAGTTTATTCCACATGCACAAACACTGTGATTATTTACTTTATCTGCTTATTCCTTTCAAAACCGGAACATCACTGTAAGTAGAAACTAGTCAGAAAGGAATCGCTGAGGTATGGTTTCCTTAAATAAGATTTAAAAAGGCTAACATGTAAGTTGATTAAGACCCTCTGTAGATCTGAAGAACCATCCCAGCTGAGGGCTCGGAAGATGGAAGGACCTGAGCAGTTAATGCCTGGTTGGTCCTCTGCACGTAAGGCAGTGGTGAATAAGATGGGTCCATCCACGTGGGAACGCTGGCACAAATGCCATGGCTATGGCAGGGGCAGACAGGGTATATTGGTTGCCGGCCGTTCCAGGATGCCAGTACACAGATAATCCAGATTGTGGGGTTAACAGGCCACCCCTCTGTGGTGTGACAACTGGGGCTCAGAGCACTTACATGGAGCTCTGTATTTATAACTGCTACAAAGCCAACAGTTCTTGGATTTTGACTTTCTTTTGCCTGTGGTAGATTGTCTGACAATTTGTGTTCTATGCTGTCCTTTTCATTTATATCTATGTTTAGTAAACAATGATTAACATGGGGGAACAAAAATCAAATATATAAAATTTACAGAGGCGGACATTTCAGGTCCAGAAAGTAAAAATCCAGACCAAGACTTTTTTTCAACCAGCCAGTTGAGTACTCTGTGACTGTGACTCTTTATGCGCAACTGGTTGGTTGAAACAAAATCCTGGTTTGGATTTTTACTTTCTGGACCTGAAATGTCCACCTCTGAATATTTAGTCCACGCTGTTTGTTTTGTGGGAATATCCTCACAGGACATGTTTTTAGACCCACCATCGTGCACGTCCCCGTTCCTCTTCTCCTGCATAGCCAGCTCAAAGCTGCTGTGCAGGATCTTGTTGAGAGTGCAGATCCATTCCTCCATCTCGGCCTCGCTGTCGGCCGCCAGCAGGTACGTGCTCTTGTCCTGCATCTTCAGCTCGAAGGCAAAGCGACGGACCTTGCTGTTCTGCCAGGACGAGAGAATGGAGAGCGGAACCTTAATCAGGTTTTCCAGATCAATCGGGGGTTCCAGAATTTACAAAGACACCTCTCTGGCACCTAAAACAACAATAGCCTTTCAAAGAGCCAAGCTGCAATTGCATTCACTCGACAAAGAGGTTTTAGACAAAATGAATTGTTCAAAAGGATGGAAAACAAGTTATTCGCATCTTCAAAAGTCAATATCATTATTAAGCCAAGTCAGCAGAATAAAGCCGCTATTGACTACAGAAACAGACGTTTGCTATTATGGAAACCGAACCTATCAGAGCCAAAGAAGAACATACCCTGACTGAACCAGGGCAAGGCTGTAGCCACAGGTTTCAGAATCCTAAAGCAGAACTGATGTTTCAATTTGAGATGGCAGACGCTTAGAATATATACACACAATTGTTACCCCTTCATTTCGCATATATAGTAGGAAACCATGTGAAGGGCCTTACTGTGGGGCAGTCCAGGCTGCTGTGGTTTTACCAAATTCACAAAAGTCATTTTTCAATCTTAGCCACCATTCCTATTAGCTGTTAGATGGGATGACAAAGGTCAGCTGACAGGACAAAGTTCCCTTTTTGCTGCTCAACAGTGAGATGGATATGGGTTCTTTGGTGACAACATCCGACTGTGGTGTGCAGAGGGAACTTACTCCCTGAAGCTGGAGATGAATGATGGTGTGGGAAAACAAACGTGGATTAAGGCCTACTGAAGCATAAAAACAGCTTGGAGGGGGACTTCCACGTGGCTGAACTGGAGGCCTCCGATGAATCAGGAAAACAGTAGGACATTTTTCAGGCGTCTGACGCATTTCTGCTGCCACAGCAGGCAAGTTACTGGACTGCTTGTTTGAGAAGTTTATTTTCTGGCCACTCTCCCTTTAACCAAAGTGCAAGTTCCCAGATAGTCCTGCTGAAGCTATAAAAATCAGCAGCAAATCCGTGTATGGGAGCTCCTGGCCCGTGGGTCCATGAATCTGCACACTGTGTGGAGGGGGTCACATGGAGCGTACTGTACTATACTATAAACGGTAGCTTTCTTTAAGGAGAACACACAGGCCAGGATGGTAACTAGACCTCATAGGAAGACTGAAGGCCACCACCTGATCCTCAGTGACATGTGTATGCAATGGGGAACTGGGTCTCCTCAGTATTATGAAAATAACCACAAATTACTTTTTGATCGACGATCAATTAAGTCTCCAGCAAGGTACCACCACTGGTTATATTCCTTGAGCTGAATTATGATGGAATCCATAGCATTGATTTTATCAAAGCAACTCTTATTTTGAAATCAACGGTTTCCACTTGAGGCGAAACGGTACACAAAATTTATAGTTTGGTACAAGCTGAGGTTTTTGGTTCAAGGTTTGGCGCAATTTCGGTACAGCACGGAAACCAATTTATCTTGAAATACAAAATACAAACTGCAACATGAACCAAACTAATAGTGATGTGCTGAATCAGTCATGTATCTGACATGGGCCGTGAGATTCATACTGCCGTATGTTCCATGATAAGCAGCTAGAAAGTGGACGGATGGTTGAATGAATGGATGGTTACCTGAACGACACCCATACATGAGTCCAGGAATATACTTCCTTTGGGCTCCTTGGAGATCTTCTCATCTTTGTAGAAGTTAAGGTTGTAAGAGCTATCTTCCAGCTGGGCTAGGTGAAAATATCTTCTCTTGAAAGACTGCAAAATAGACCATCAAACTTACTTCATAAAATGAGACATATTTCATTGTTATTGCAATATAAGAACAATCTTCCATTGATCTAATATCCATTCCACATTCCTGTAGCTCTATACACATGGGTAGAGAGGAAGGCCAGTTTAGGTTATGGTTCAGTCATTCGATCAGATGATGACCCTGTGAGGGACTCACCCTCATGGTCACACTGATGGCGCTGTTCATATTTCCTTTGTAGAGCCAGCCTTGTTTACTGATCCCTCCCTTCTGCGAACCCAGAGAGGCCGTGTCCTGAGGAAGAAGGAACAAGCTATTACATACAGGCTAATGGTGGCCTAGTCGTGCAAGATCAGGCAAAGCGTTCACACATTCTGCAACCGAGTCATCTGAACTGCGAATAAGTGCCACATAATTACATATAAATCAATTCAGACAATCCTCCCCCATTACAAATTTTTTCCTAGCTCTGGATGATTAATACCACACATTCCTGATAATGGGAGAAAATCTAGGAAGCTGTTGACACAACTGTTTTCCTATCATCTTATTTCATGAAGAAAACATCTGCCGAAAAATGTTCTTTTTCTTCCTGTTCATACACAGAAGTGCTGTGTGATCACTGTACCCTTGAGTAAAATCAGAGATGGCCATTCAGGGGCCTCTGGAAACCAAGTGTGTAAAATGGGGGCCTTTCATTGAGGTGACAGTGGATGGAAGATTCTGGTATAGTGTGGGCCCATCTTCGGCAGTGAGGTCTGCTACTACTCATCCTCGCACTGTCCAGAGGCAGCTGCTCCCAGGAGAACTGGCTCGGTTATAAGCGCTGGCTTTCACTGAACCCAAAACACTACAGAAAGCCATTGGCCAATGCCAAGATCAACACTGCCCCTGAAACCGCAGTACTCACACTATTTGGAGAATTATTCACAGGTGGATTTAAAAGATTCCACGTCAAACAGTCTCCTTCATAAGGAATCTGAACTACTTCTTAAGCTAATTATGGGTAATGATTTCATTTGCATCGAACACCTTCGATAGGAAACCTCATTTTAATGAAGCTGTATCATAAAAGTATCAAAAATAGCAAACCAAGTTAACCTTTGCACAAGTAAACACACCAAGCATTTCACTGAAACACATGCAAACAATGAGACTTTTCTATTCCTTCTGCACTGAGAGATCTTCTTGAAGGCCCTCATGGGGTAACGTTGCCTTCCGTTGCCTGGGTCAAAACAGCCATGCTGCCTGGAATAGCATGAGGCACCACAGGACACTACAGGGAGGTTTCCCCCCCCCCCAGTCTGAGGAATCCACAGTACTGAAGCATATAAATCCACAGCTTTGTTCCCATGTTTTTTTTTCTAATTTAAAGTTTACAGCATTTGACCTCGTGACCATCTCAGTGAACTTTCACTCAGAAGTTAACCTAGATTCAGTCACACTGTTAAACCAATTAAACTGGTATTTATAGGCTTCTGATTAATAAAGAATGAGACAGAATGGCATCAAAAGAACTTAATCCATTGTTCTGAGACCCATGTCACTACAGTCATTAGTGAAGGCAACTGCAGATTTTATTCTGTGGTGTTCATTTAGGTCACAACAGTTGCTTCAAACCAACACCCCAAAGGTTTAATGATCTGGCATCAGGATTTATTAGCAGAATAAAACATGTGCGGAGTAATTACTGTAATGGGATATGTTCCTGGAAAGTCCCAGTTGTAGAAGGTTTTCCCAAACACTTAGTCAGGTTCGACCACTTCCCGGATGGTGGTCAGCTTAGACCCACGATTACTCCCTCAGTTCTGAAGACCTTCCTGAGCAAATAAGAGTCGAAACTCTGAGTGGTTTGCGTAGATGAAGATGAAAAAGTGGAAAACACCGAGGAAGATTTTGAGGGTTCATTTTAAGCTGCAACGAAAATTCTATCAGCTAGCTGTCAAGGAGAGGAATTATGGCAATGTCTCATTTCCCCATAAATGTATTAACATCATCTCCAGAGAAACTTGACATCATCCAGAACTTGACACAATGTGTACCGAGTGTGGGCAACATCTTCTCCACTCCCCTTTGAACCAAGCAGTACTTTCCACACAAGTCAAATGACCTAAATAAGAGTTTAGCATTTGTGAGAAACTTTGACAAAATGAGTTATTAACTTGACGTGATGAACCCCAAAATAATTCATTAACCAAAAAAGTCTCAACTTTTTAAAGGAAAACGCAGAGAAGGTTATGTAATAATAAAAAAACGCTTGGTGTGCAGTTCAAACGGGCCAACATCTTTGTTGTCTGCCCTAAATGTCAAAAATCCCAAGTTCCCCAAGGTGAAATGGCAGAGTGAAATGGCTACACCCAGAACTGCTGAAACCCGGACTGATAGTTGTCCAAATATAATGCACAGCATATTTTCTGCGACTTGCAGTTGTAGGGTAATGGTGTGTGGGTCAATCCCAGACCAGGAACCTTCCTTACCTCATCTTTGTCTGCGTCTTCATCCACCTCGAACACGTGGACGGGCAGTCTCTCTGGTCTGAAGACCTTACTGCAAGACAAATGGGAATGAGGAGGTTTTTATTGGTGGATTTCCACCAGTAAGGTTCGGCCTAACAGAGAGGTGTCAGTGCTTCTGTACTGAGCTCCCAGGTGAAACAAATTAGTTGTTACTCAGCTTTTTCCTTCTTTCAAACAGGGGCCAAAGAAATTTACATCCCCTCCAGACCTATGCTCCATGAGAACACAGCATCAGTCTCTTAACACGTCTGTCATATTTCGGTTCAATCTTGGCCCTGAGAGCCTTAGAAAATCCAAATGTTTCCTGCATTTTAGGCAGGAACTAGCCATCCCCGGCCTAAACAAAAGCCAACGTCAAACATGAAGAAAAATCCCATGACGGCATGGAAGCTCAAGGACAACTTTCTCTCCCAGGGAAGAAACGGGAAGAGCATATCCTGCGGGGGTATAAAGGTCAGCAAGTTCATTCCCACAACACATGGAACATCTGGAAATCCCACTGCTCGCTGCTGATGGACTGACTATAGACTGAGGACACGGGGACGCAAAGGATTGTGGGAGGCCTTTCCAAACCGACGGGGGCATGCCCTGGCCTCAGACGGCTGTCCGTGAGGACAGACAGACAGCATTGTCGCTGCAGCAGGAAAACCAGCATTTCCTCTCATAGAAATCATGCCAACATCACAACAGTCCAGTCATTTATGTTTGGAGGATTAGCTGTGGCTCTCTGATGGCTGTCAGAGTGGGAGAAGGAGGGTAATCAAACTGAATCTGAAACTCGGACCACGGGATACAAACACCAAAGCAATGTACCAGCGGTACATCTGTACCACATATGCTACACTGTACAGTCACTAAATGAAACAAAGGGCTTACTTTGGAAGCTGACGGAAGTCTCCGGAGTAGTCCTCATACTTGTAATTCACAATGTGCCAGTCTGAGTTGTAGGTCCTGATGCACTGTGGGAGGAAATGAAGCAAATAAGTGCTTATATTTTCGGAAAAAAGAGAAATTAAGTTAGAGAGAAACATGAAAAAACAACAAGAGATGGTAGAGTTTTGACCTTAAAAATGATCCCTGTATTTCAGACTCAGTCGCAAAGCGGTAGAATCTTTTCTATCAGCCTGGAAGCTCCCCGGTCATTATCAATACGTGCAGCACCACATCACTGCCCCCCCCAAAGAAAAAGCTCTAATCTACCATTATTTGTATTTATTTTTGGGCAATGCCAGGCTGCAAGGGGCGTAGCAATTCGATATTAAAACTATTAAATTTCCGTTTTACGAAAGAGCCTGATCTCGGCATGTTTGTAGCTCAGGGCCAAAACACAGGTTCCAAAAACAGGCTTGAGATTTGCTTAATTTTTAATACTTGTGCAGCTGATCATGTCTCATAGCAGGTGCATCGCTCAAATTCCTAAGCACCTGCCCTTATTACTGAACAAGCATTCCTTGACATGTGTACATTTCACCAGCCTAACAACTTTTTTTGAGGGGAAGCAGGGTGTTCCCTGAATGCTGGGGGCACGTGACATTGACAGCTGCTGTAGGACTTACAATGTGTACAAGAGGAAAAAAAAAACTTTGACTAATGCAGATATGAGGGAAAACTGTAATTCAGAAAGCACCAATCTTCTAATTAAATTTGCTTGATAAAAAAGTTTGACATGACAAAATTATATAACCTAATATAAACCTAATATAATAAGAAATGTCTTTAAAGGTGGAAGTCCAAACCAGTATTACTGTCCATCTAGCAGAAAACCATATATTCAAACTAATTTGCAAAGAGCAATTAGTAGAGGGCTGTTGTCCCTGATGTTTCTACACTGGGTGTGGAACAATGTGTCCCTGACTTAAGTGTCACAGCATAGGGATGATGACCATTTCCTTTACACTCAGCTGTTAAGCAATGTTAGACTAGATGAATTGTACTACAAGGAGACACACATTCTATTCATTATTATAAATTCTTGTCAAAGCAACTATCACAATAGCATTTCACACAAAGAAACAGGGACATTCCCAGTGACTGTGTGGCCGGGAATTTGACAGTGGAAGACTGAAAGAATGATAGTGCATGTGTGTGTTTGTGTGTGTGTGTGGGGGGCATTGAAGGACCCGACACAGATGTTTCTGGTGATGTCATCCTGCACTTAATCAATGGAACTCTCTCTTTACCAAGACAATTAACATCAAAGCGAGAGAGGAACAGAGATTTGTGGAGATGGGGGTAGCAACCAGCTGGACAGTGCACAAAAAGAAACTACTCGAATGTTATTGGCAAGATTTAAAAATACCGGAATGGCATATACCGTCGTATGATTTCTGGACGGTATGACGGTATGAAAGATTAGATACAGAAGAGAACAGAAAAAGCAAAGCTCTGCTATACATTGGCAACACCCAAAGGGGTGTGTGTGCAAGTGTGACTGAAAAAGGAGTTTTTATTATGACTGTTCCAGAACTTGGCTTATGGCACAAGTTATTGTGATGTTTATGTTTCCCCCAAAAGCTTCATTATGGGCCAGAACAACGTCACATGTCCAGAAATACACACATGCATCAGGTGGCCATACTCATGACCAGTGCTACTTTGTTGATTGACTATATGATAACAACAGAGATATTAAACTCTTTCTAAGACTGATTACTGCTTTGTGTTCCAGACGAAAAGAGCTCCAGCAGACAGCAAAGTTACCCTGTGAGATTCCCTACAATTGGAACACCATTAAACTATAACAACTGTTCAACTATTCCTCAAGCCAGTGGCTCATAATGTCAACAGATGATTTCAGTATTAATTATTGCACAAAGACAAACCTGCAAGACCAATGCCAGATCAAGGGTAGAGGATTACTAACATCCAGAGAGGCCTGCATAAAAAAATCTGTTTATACGGTTAATTAGATGGTGAGACGGTTAATTAGGAGCAGCGCGCTGGCCTTCATTTTATTCAATAGCTCATTCTATCATGGTCACAGATCAGTTAGAGCACTGCAATCTTACCTCTTGGACGAACAGATCCTGTGCTTCTAGCTCTGCATTTACAGGAAGAGATGAGTAGAGAGTCCTTTCGAGGCGTGGAAGAATTGATATCTGAAAATCAAAATGGAAGAAATCAATCTCTCAGCAGATGGCATTCTGCTCCACATGGTCTAAGCCCAAAGCAGCATCGAACTCTGCATTTTGAATTTACACATTAACTGCACAGCAATTTTGAGTATTAATATTCAGGTGTTTTTATTGGACATACCAGTAAAGCGATGGTTTAAAACTAGTAGTCAGCAAAAGCAGTTTTTTTTTATTAGGTGTCATGTTCTTAAGGAACATTAAAAATAGATATTATTCAAGGAGGCAGTTGCTACTTGCTACTGGTGTTGACCTTGCATTACATATCTACAATAAGTATCTAAAAGTTGCTTCACAAATGACAGACAGACCATAAACCTGAAACAGTGGTTTCAAGTCTGCCTTGGAAGAAGCTTCAACCTAGTATGCTTTCAGCAATGAAGTATCATTAACGAGCAAGGCAGATCAGGTTACATTCAGGACACTGAACAGGCCCTGCGGTTTTCTGGGTGAGTAGCCTCAGCTTGGCAGAATTTCCCCAAGAAGCCTTCAAGACATTATCTGGCAAGCCAGGATTTCACAAAGCACCCAAACACTGTCCTTTTTCCACAGATGATTGCACATCCACCGGGGAGAGGAGTGAGAGATCGGCCAGGTGAGGCAGGGCACTCCTTTGCACTGTTCAGCCTGGGGGCCACAGACATGACCTACAGCAGGTCACTCCCTGGATCCGGGCTCCCGATGAAAATACCTCACATACTAGTATGCCCGGTGGCTATTCAATGTGATTACAGTGAAAGTGAGGATTATGCGGCTCTTGAAGATGTTTGGCTCCTCACCACAGTACACAAGAAGGTCCTTTCTGCCTCATCTATCTTGCCTTCTTAGTTCTTCTCCACTGCACCCTCCTCACAGTATTCCAACTAGACCCACTTTCACAGTGAGCATTACAGTGCAGTTTGAGGACTTTAAGTTCTCCCCACAGATGAGATCTTGATCGATGTTGTGGAATGTAATTTCCACAGGAATTAAGGTCACTAGAAAAATAACACAAACCTGATGTGATTAATTTTGGTGATATGTGACTTATGGTATCCAGCCAAAGTTTGCCGGGTTGTGGCCAGAGTTAATGTGCTGCTCCACCCGCCGACAGCCCCGGATGCATTTCCCAGTAACATTGGAGTGTGCCGATGGACAGCTTCAGGATGCTGGGACGGGGAGCGCTCCAAGATAAGGGGATGTCCGGAGGCGCTTTAACAACAACAACGTCTAGCACCTTTGGAGTATTATAGTATAAGTATGAATTTCCTTGGGGGGAAACTTACCACTTAGGATATATACTGTCTGTTGTTGATATTTAATGCACCATTCACTTGTTAATTGAGGGAAATGGACAGCCAACCTTACAGGAGACAGCATTAAAAAGTCAGGAAACTTACACTGTATCCAAACACCAGATAAGACAAGCCGGAATATTTAAATCTGGCTGAAAGGAAGGTAAATTTGAATTCTGAAATCTATACCAGCACCTGTGTGTTTTAATCATAGTTACTGTTGTCATGCATCAGTTATGTTGAATTTGAAACTGTGCAAGTTCAGGTTTCTCATATGAAAGTGTTTTATTTTGAGAGAATGCGAGTTATGTTGTGTTTTATTTTTCTGCTAGTCAGTTTGGGCACCATTCTGATGTAAACTGCCAGGCGTTAAGCCTCACGAAAGCTTAAATGAGGTTTTTGGTTTTAACTTTAACCATGACATTCTGTTGACATCAACTGAAATCAACAGAAAAACCAAATTCTTACTATCACTAAGCAGTGAAAGTCAATTGAAACCAGCTTTAGTCCATCTCGCATTCTAGGGTGAAGAACCAGGCTATATGCAGAATTAGCATGGAGAAGTATGCAACCAGTGTAAAGAACTGAAAGAGCTTCATCTTCATTTCCCTCCATCGAACTATAGGGCTTTACCTCAGGATCTTGAACAGAGAACGGTGGCCATAATGCAAATGCTTCAAAATTATAACATAGGAGAAAAATAAAAATATCATTCATAATAAAATGTGTACCCGGAGAAAATGCAAGTCTCTCTGCTTACATAAGATTGTCATCTGGTGCAACGTGCCAGCTCTGCGTTCTGTCATGCAGATGGTGGAATCAAGATACCAAGCAAAGCAGACAGCCTGCGGTCACAGCAATACTGGGGGGGGGGGGTTGTCCGCAAGCACTTGCTTTTTCACACCACAAACTGAAAACAAACACTCCCCAACAGCCGAGAAGCAAGAATGAGAAACAGCTGTCATGAAGAAGCTGGCCAGTACTGCTGGTCTGAACACCATCTACCCTGTTGGTAGGCAGAACTGGGACCCTTCCTCCCTCGTGGAACTGGGGAAAACTAATGTTTGATAAAGTCGCTGAGACTTTCTTCTGCTTCATAGCATATGGTTCTGCAGGGCTTTTTCAAAGAGCGAATAGGTGACAAAACTACCTTCGTTTGGTAGTTTTGTTTCTTACAAAGTCTCACGACCCTGAAACCATTTAATTCGTTCACTGAATAAATTTTGTGCTTAGTGCCATAAATTAAATCAGGGTTGTGTAGCATTAAACTCCAGCTTCCCTAAATGCATGAAACCAGACGATGACCAAGCAACTGAATCTCACATTTCGCTTTCCTGAACAGCTAAATCCTCTTTTCCTTTTGAGTCTGATTGGGCCACTTTGCTCCAGGACATGGTCTGGTTTCTGATAAAAGACGGGTCAACCAACACTATACGCAATGGAACATTCTGACCAAGTGGGAATGGGCCACAGGTGCAGAACCGAATTCAGTAATGGGGGGAAAGCATAATACTGGGTTCTAGTGACCTGCGGTATTTCTCAAAATGCCTGTCACTCTACCCACTGTAAACTCCTAAGAAGTTGATGACTCAGAGCAGGCCCACCCCCCATCCCCCTAGACTGAACTTCAGAGGAGGACAGGACCACACCCATATAGACAGTCTGACTATGCCAGACTGGAACGCAACCTAGATAACTGATGTGTTATTACAGACAAACGATTCTCAAAGCTGTTAAACCACACAACTGTTTCTGACCAATGAGAGTGAAAGCTTTTCTGTAATTACAGGAGAAAAACAGATGCTAAAGTAGTAATCAAAAACATACTACTAAAACATGTGTATGTAAATGACAAGACTGTAAAGAGGCTTTCCTAGTAGTGAAGTTCATCAAGCTCAGTGTTGTAAAATGTGCTATGGATCACAAGACCATGTACAGATGTAAATCATTCATCTTCCACTACAGGGAGGGTCACATTATGAACCAGGTAAAATCATCAGAAATGAGCCCCAGACATGCCTTCCTCACTCATGTCTTTGTGTGGATTGGAAATCTGTTTCTTTGGTTTTATTTCACTTTTTTTTTTTGAGCCAACCAGGCAATAATCAAACTCATTCTGTGACAGATATGGAGGAAAACTTAAACCAATAGGAACTCATAACCTTGGGCTCCTTGGCTCCATGTGGTAAGAACAATAAAAAGAAGTTCCTTCAAGGAAACAAGCAATCCTGTCGTCCAGTCCAAGGGTCGGGCATGTTTAAAGGAGGTGACCTGGTTTCTAAAGTTCCTCAGAATATGTAGACTACACGATGTAAATCATCCATCCAGGGTTGGGGGGGGTAGCACAGGGCACAAGAAAGGGGAACGTCCTGGATAGAATGCTAGTTGACATTTATCAAATAGTACCTAGACAGAAATTAGGTCCTTAGGTTCCAAAGTAAGAACCAAAGTAAGAACAAGTATTTCCACTTTATAATTATCAGATGCGTCAGAATTAAACAAAGAAGAACGGGACCATTAAATTAATCAAATGGCAAGTAGCTATAAAAAGTATTATTCATATTAGGAGCATTACTGTGCCATGTGTACATGTTAAAGGTACTACCCCTCAAGACAACCATGCTTTAATGGAGTATTTGAAGTACTCGTAATTGATGGTCTGCCAGGCCAAAGCAATAATGAGTACTCTGGGCAGATCAAATCCAGCCTAATGTGAGAGAAACACCTGGTCACCATGGTGATGCATACTAGCGAGCACTAAACTCGCATAGCAACCGTGTCAAGGGGTCTGTATCATTCCAGCATGTTCCCATTTTAAAGAGGCTTCACCAGATATTGAGATGCCCTGGGCGTTTGCTTGATGTCACACCCGTGGAAACCCCATAGTCTACGATGACCCTGCAGGCAGCGGTGACATGATGGCTTACCTGGAAGTCCTCGAGGGGGAACTGAAGCATGTCCCGCAGCATGTCAGCAAGGATCTGCATCCTCCTCTGAAGCAGCACACTCTCATAGTCCAGAGGCTCCACTACCTTGGGCTTTGCCTGGAGGAGCAGAGTAATGATAGAGTAGAGGCTAAGCAGGATGTCCCACAAGTCACTCATAATTTCAAATACCCATTTCATTTTCAGCATGTACCAAATCCAGATTTTTCAATGCTGGGTTGAGAACTAACAAAAAATGACAGCCCTGTAGGATGTTTCAAATCTTGTACTGATCTTAGTCCGAGTCGGGGGTCACTTAAGGTCAGGCAGCCTTAATATCTGCTGCATAAGGTACTGCTTACGAGAAATGTGGGTATGTTCGAGCCCGTTTCATAATTCTGAAGGGAAAGCCTTCAGCACACCTGAAGCACACACCATGATACCAACCAGGTTTGAATGACATCATAGTTGTGACAAAACACAAAGGCGGGCTCACAGCTCAGGAGCGACACCAAACCCAAAATGAACATCCATCAGGGTTACATGCCAGGAAACACAGGGTGTAACATGAGTTCACTGCAGGCAGACACACACACACCCTAGGGGAAGTTCATAACCAGCGTGCATGACTTTGGGCAGAGGGAGGAAACTGAAGTACCCAGAGGAAACCCACGCAAACTGCACAGAACCACATTTCAACCCATAGCCCTGGAGACATGAGACAAGGACGTAACCTGCATAAAGGACAAAAACAAACGTGATATTTAATTCTTCCAAAAGCTTGCCCTGCCTCTGCACCAAGGTTATTATCATTAACAAATACTAAAATGATAGAAGCATCTCAAATCAAAATGAAACTAAAATGAAACAAAGTGTGAGACACAACCGGACTGAAATTAAAATAATTACAAAACTAACAAATAAAATGAGTAGAAATTAAAAAATTGCGATTTCTATTTTTTAGGTTCTATTTTGAGTTTGAAAGTCTGCCAGTAGCGAATATTGGCCTTTCTGAATAATCGACGGTGAACGTAGCCTATTATAAGTGTCTCAAATTGACACAATGATGAATGCGCTTGAGATTAACTTCTTTCAGATGAAGAGACTGCTTGCAAATGTGAAACCACAGTATGAAACCATTTGGAGTACTGTACTTACTATGCAAGCTTTAATAAGAGCAAGTGTGTCATGGATGTAAATGACTGAGTTTGTGGTGCACAGCTTAAGGGAATGTACCCAACTAATTAATTTAATAAGGTACACCTATGTTGCCATCACAAACATGTTTATAAAGTGGTTGAGGACTCCAGTAGCATGACAAGAAATGGGACCAAAATAGGAGGTAACGTTAAATCAGGACTCTCAAACGATTATTTTTTTTATCACAATTAATCGCATATACTGTACAGACATGTTGCAATATCATCAAAAAAAGATTCTGTAGTCTGTATATTCAGTAATTTCAGAAATGTATTTATCTTTTAAAATGAAATGAAACAAGTCAAAGTTTCCTCAACTTTCCCCACCATCAGCTTCCCAAGGACACTCGATCTGACTATTTTGTCATTTCATTTGTGAATTTTGGGATTCTGTGCATGTGACTGAAGCTCTTGTGCCAGAAAGAAATACTATAAGTTAGGGCTGGTCAATATATCTACTTATCATCGTATAAAATTTTAATGATAAGAAAATGAGACTTCGATAAACTATCGATAAGGAACATTGGCTGATAGCACACATCAGAAACAAATGCAATTCCAACTAATCATATGGTAGCTTTTTAAGAACGGACAACCTATGTCCAACAAATGCACAGCATGGTCGACAGCGTTGGTACTGTTTGCTACTGTTTTGGTAATATCATGGAGGAGAAAACTGCTCCTTCAGAGGAAACATCAAGTCCTGGTGAAGAAAGTGACAGTTCAGCAGTCACACATCTTTTAAAAAAGGAGAAATTGTGTATAAACTAGATAAAAAGATGCTGGAGTTGTGGCAGTATTTTTTGAAGTTAAAAGTCGGGTGCTGTGTACTGAAAACTCTGCCGAAAACTTGTGCCGACAAATTGGAAATGCTGTGAACTTATTTCACCTCATTAAGTATTCGCCATCCAGTGCAACATACACAATCCACGCGCTTACAGCCACAAACACCAGCAACTGATGTTTCCAATCTGAACATATCTGAACAAATACAGGACACATTGCCTCCCGCACTGGTTAAAAACAGGACACAGCATTTTATTTTTCATTACGGGACAGGAGATAACTCTGGCAGCAACGTAAAACCTTTTCCCTGGAACGAGCTACAAGGTAGTCAGAGAAAAATCCTAGGAACAAACCATACTGTCGGCATTACGCCCTATGACAAAAAAAAGTTTACTTTAGTATGATTTGTTTATTAAAATTAGATTTCAATTTCCAGTCCATTCAATTTACCACAATTCATTTAGGGCAATTCTAAGGGAGTTTTAAACTAAAATGGAACCTTTATATAAAGAAATAATGGCTTGAATTTTATCATGATTATTATTGATGTCGACATATGAAAAAAAAATCATGATACATTTTGCCATATTGTCCACTTCTACGTATAGTTCCTCATTAAAAATCTTTGCTCATACTATTCTCCCATTTGGGTATTAAAATTAATGTATGCGTTCGCATACTCAAAGAAATAATAATAATAATACATGATGACTTATGCTAACAGTTTGACAGCCTTAATTAAAACTACATCACAGGGACAATAACTGCATGGGTGCTAAAGAGCTCTCTGGCCAATTTACTCACTCAAACATAAAAATAGGGAGAACGCCCTGATTCAATAATTTATTGAATCAGGGATGACAAGTAGGTTGTGTGAATAGATGGACTTCATATGGTTCTGCAAAATCCTCAACCCAAAGTGCAAAATGCAAGCCACTGCTGTGGAACTGCCTGCTCTTAAACAGACAGACTCTGCTACAAAATGACTGTTATGCTCTAGACTAGAACTAGTTTAATGTTTATTAGAGCTCTATCATTATTTGTAATAGATTTTCTGCTGTGTGTTTTCATCTGGGTAATTTTTAACTAAAATTTAAAATAAATTGCAACAAGCTGTAACAAAAATGATGAAAAACCCATAAAACTGGATAAAAAAAACTACAACTAAATTGAAAAAGAAACAAAATTGAAAAATAACATTAAAATAAAAACAGAAGTAAAATTCTCTTGCTCCACACTGAACCTGATCCAATATCCAGTGTGCTACAGGCCTGGTAAACGTTAGCATCAGGGGCATGTTAGCGTCATCTGAGTAGCTTTGTGGTGCTGGGGCCCAGGGCAGCCCTGTGTAATGGAGGGATCTGAGCACATAGCCTAGCACACTAGGAGGGCCCCGACGCAAGGACCGCACCAGTAGAGGACAGCAGGACTACAGAGGAACCTCAGATGCACCACACCGGTCTACCAAGACTGAAAATGTGTACAGAAAGTATAGCACAGACAGAAAGTATATACTGAAAGTATAGCACAGACTCCACCCACGTTCAGTGGGAAGCCAATGAAACAGCCACTGGTTTTCAATGAACATGGGTGTGTTTGCCAAGGGCTCAACACCATGGAAATAGGCCTGATACTCCAAAACCTCAATGTCATTCTGTACCTTCCCTCCCACCTCAGTACATCACAATCACTGTAGCACCCACACAATGGACAAAGACCGGTTTCACTTGTGTGGGGGAAAAAGGTGTTATCACATTTCCTGCAAGAGCTGCCAGAACCTGGCTCTGCCATCATTCATATTTATGCAGAACTTCACAAAAGGGAACAGAAAATAAGCCAGGACATTATAACCCCCCTAACTGAAAGGGTTTCTTTGTGGACTTAACCTTGGAAGGTTCATTCCCTGCTGAAGCTTTGAACCGCTGTACAAGAATCAGATCGTTGCGTTTGATAGCAGGCAGGCTGCGCTAACAGAGCGTGGGCCCAGTGCAGGGAGCGAGGCCCGACTCGGAGAGCCACAGGGCAACATTATTAGCGACGGTGCATCCCACGTCACAAGCCATATGGCTGGGTAAGAGGGGAGACACGAGCCTGAACGTGCCGGTGCGTCTGCCTGGAAGCACCTAGAGATGATTCATTAATGAGCCCAAAACTCATGCTGCCTAGACTGATATACCACATCCTATTACAAATGCTGGCTCAGGGGGTAGTATTGTTGTCTCACACTGCCAAGACTGGGAGTTTCAGTGCCACCTCTGCTCTGTGCGTCTGCCATGTAGCACAGTTTTCCTCCTGCAGTCTAAAGACATGAGGGTAGGCAATTCTAAATGACTTTGTGTTTGGCGATGGACAGGCGTCCCATCCAGGGTGTACCCCAGCCTCTGGTAGGCTCCAGGCCATGACTGTGACCAGGAGGTGGTTTGTACTATGTAATTATACATATTACCATGCAATTAGTGTTCTTGCACGTCGGTACGTGTGAGCTGGTGCATATTTGTGCATTCATGTGCATGTGTGTGTACAAACGTACACCATCTAATGTCCAAGGGTGCGGGAGCTTAGGCAAGCCTGGGTGCAGGCCAGGGCTGCCGCGTTCACAAGCCTCTACATCTGGGCCTGATAACGAAAGCATGACCTCAGAGGCAGAGCCCTGGAAATGTGGCTGTTTCTAGGGGTCTTGTGGTCCTGGACAGCTGATACAGTAGCTCATGTAGGGACCTGCAGAGGATGGCTCTGTTGTCCACCCTCTGATTACACCATTATTATTACTCAGGGAAAAAAAATGAAAGAGAGTGAGAAGGAAAGACAACAATAGAGAAGAAGCACTGAACAAAAGTTATTACTAGTTTAGGTACCACTTTAGAATAAGGTTCCCTTTGCCATTTGTAAATGTTAGTAACTCATTCATAAAAAGAAAACTGTGTTATAACTTGTTTAAAATTTTCTATTAATAATTTACAAAGTGTTACAACCTAATTAATAACCAGATTATAAACCATTCATAAACTCTTTATATGGGTAGCCTTATTGTAAAGTGGGACCCTAGTTTATTATATAAAAGTGAATGTCTTCAATGCCTGTCAAAAAACTGCCTTCATTGTTACACTTCCCACTGAAGTCACCCTCCACTTTCTA